CCAGGCCCGGCTGCCGCAGAGTCTGAGCCGCGGGACAGCGCGCCCCGCGCCCGGGAGCGCCCCCGGCTCGGGGCCCGAGACGCCAGCCTCCGCGCTTCCGACTTGCTCCGGCGATCGGGGCGAGCCTCCCTGCTGGTGGGCTCGTCCGGGGAGTCGCGCTTCGGGTCCCCGCGGGGAGACATGCCCGAAATTGGCAGCCATGTGACTCTCAGCCTCCCACCTCGCCAGGGGAAGCAGGCTTGCTGAAGCCGAGCCACGAGGGGACCATGGGAGGGACGCAAGTCAAATGGTGAGCGGAAGCCACTTTGGCTCGGAGGTGGGGGCCTGGGTGGGACCGCGCCGGGCCTGGAGGGAGGATGCTGAGACAGACGGCATGCGTGGGGCGCTCTGCTGGGTTGGACAGGATGTCGGTCAGGGATTATCACTATAAAACACGGTGGGTTTAGGGATGGAGCCCGCAAGAGGAGAAGGGGTGGCTTTCTGCTCGGTGTCTGTGCTAGGGGGAGGGCACTTCAGGAGGGGACAGGACTCTTCCTCGTCGCGCACTACTCATTTAAAAATGATGATTGGGGTCTGTAATTTGGAAGTATCTTTGCTGGGAGATAGCTTGTCTGATAAGACGGGAGAGGCCCTAGACCTGTGGCCATTAAGAAATGTATCTGTCCGACCGGGTTTGTAATCAGTCATCAGTCGTTCTTTGCCCTCAGAGAGGATTCTGATGGCTTGAGTGGGATTATTTGTTTTTAAAACAGGGCTTTTACAGGAGTCAGGGGAGGGGCCCGAGTCCGGGAATCAATTAGCACTCACATACTTTTCTCTGCCCCGAGGCAGAGGACTGACCGCACCTTCCTTTCCCTGGAGATACTTGGGGAAGCAGCACGGTGCCTTAGGATTTTTCTCCCTCGGGTCCTTAGTCTTTGGACTGGGCCATCTAGTTTCCAGGGCTTACCTCTGTGGCCTCACCCTGGCAGCCTCAATTCAAGAAAGAGAAATGTTGTTTTCCTTTGGCTGCCCTGCCACTCCCCCAGCGGGCTGGTTATCCAGACATCCGCCTCCTTCTGCCCTTATATGGGAGACAGCTCGCTTGGGAGGGAGGAGGTGGAGCTGAGCATGCGTCGGTGCTTTTAGGAAAGTAGTTTTCCAGCATCCTGGGCTCACGCGACACCCTCCCCACCTTTGTCTCGCTCGTAGCTTCTGTGGTCCAGCCAAATGCAGGCATGGGCACATGTTATCCAGAGCACCTTGTCAGCTGAGGAGCTGATGTCTCTTATTGTTCGAAGAGGAGCCAATAGTTACAGGCTTCTTTCTGCACCTAGATTCCCATTTCCGCAAGAGGTAAACGCTGAGGCCTGAGAGATCATAAATCTATTCTCCTTATAAATGAAAAAGTACCCTTAGACAGTAGCTTTTCCAGCAGCTGATTCATGTTGGCCTGGAAGCCAGATTGCCTAAGTGGTTAAAGATGGATAAGAGTGTTCTAGAAACCGCTCATCATTTCTGAATACCACTTCTTATCACCTCTTGTCTCTTTGAGCTGTTTAAATTACGGATCTATAAATACGGTTTAGCAACTTTCCTTAGCTTGAAGTAGCATAATACCTTAATTTTCCCCCATACTTCTAAGAAGGAAGAGAACAGAGTATTGATGGAGGTCATTCCCACCCAAGCTCTTCGACTGTGGATGTCAAGGAGGATGAGACATTCGTTCTCAGGCTGCTTCACAGGTTTTGAAATCTCTGGCTCTTTCCACTGGGTTTGGCTCTTGCTCTTCGCTGGTCTCTGAGAAGATGAAATGTTAACTCCTGATTGGTGTTGTGAGGATTAGCCTGGGAGACTTCAGGGGCACATTAAGTGGGTCAGTGAATCCTAGACACTCACTGTTGTCCGGGTGATGGATTTGGAAAGAATGTCTAAGAGGGGGGCTAGGTCTGCGGACCCCACAGCCCCTGAGATTCTCTCATTGCTGATGTTCTCAAGATCAGCAAAGAGAAATGGCTCTTCAGACTCCTTTGTCCTTATCAGAAAAGCAGCAGGCCCACGTTCCCACCTTGTTCTACTGATTTGCTGTTGTTCCAGAGATTCAAAGTCATTCTTCCCTGAAAATCTGAACAGTTCCTCCCAAGACTAGTGAATACATCAGAACTTACGAGTTGTTGAGAGGTTTCTGATGACAACTAGAAAATACAGATGAATTTCTGATGGGAGTAAATCCAGTAAACCTTTACTATCCCTAGCAGGTCTGTCCTCTTTTTGATCTATTACCCTTATCGTGTTCTGGCTCAACTGTTGATTACTGTCCCTCCTCCCTGTCTGACACTATACACTAGTGGTTTCTATCCCTGAACTACCCTCACCCTGTCCCTTCCTTTGGAGCAGCCTCGTGCTGATCTGTGGTCACTCTGGTGGTACTGCTTATCTTTAGAGATCAGGGTGTCGGAAATAAGATTTCTTTCCAGATCCAAAAGCTTCAGAGACACATAGTGGTACCACTATCTGAACATGGGCCTGGCGAAGGTGGTGGTAGAGGTAGTGGGAGGTAAGAAAAAAACAAAAAAAATTTTTTTTGTCTTTTTGAGACAGGGTCTCACTATGCAGTTCAGGGTGGCCTTGAGCTCACTTTGTAGCCCAGGCTGGTCTTGAACTCACAATGATCCTCCTGCCTCAGCCTCCCAAGTGCTGGGATTACAGGCGTGCGCCACCATGCCCGGCTAACAAAACTTCTTTAAATGCTGGACTACCTATTCTTCGGATATTTCTCTTCTCAATTATGCTTAAAGACAGCTTTGCTGTGGAAGTCTTCGTAGGACTGTTATTCATTCATACATTGATTTAATTCACTCAAGTTCATCATTCAACAGATATGTGTTCTTCCTGTGGATTAGGTATTGTGGCACTTGGAGTAAGGTGAGCAAGAACATCTCTAAGATAAATTATGAAAGTAAAATAATGTTTGTTTCTCTCCCTTTTTCTTTGATCACAGCCTGACTTCACCCAGTCCAATCCACAGTGCAAAGAGTGAATCCATTATAACCCAGGTGGAGGAGAAGGCAGATTTTGTGATTATTCCCTCAGAAGGAATAGAGAACAGAACAGGTACTGTCTGTCTCCCTGCCTTCGCTGGCTCAGGCAATGACTCTCAGCAGAAGAATGTAGAGGTCCTGACGACTTGTCTCTAATCTCCCCGGCCTTGTTCCTCGCCATGGCCTGTGCTCTAATGCCTTGGAGCCAATTAATGTGGTTATCCTCTTACAGAGTGTCCTTCCTGGTGTCCTAGCTGTCAAAAATCATACAGACAATCCTTTCCCCGGCTGGCTGCCTGTGAATTAGAAAATGACTTTGGGATAATTAGAAGCCTTCCTCCTATAAACAGTTTTTATTAATCCTGACTTATACAAATAACTTGGGTACTTGCCCAACTTAAATTGGGGCCAGGAACATTACTATGAACTGAGATGTGTGTGAGAACATATGGGAGAGAGCAGGTCCACAGTGGGCTTGGCCTGAGGGCTGCAGCACACAGTTCCCTTTGTTTAGACTTCTTAATCTGTCTCATATAAACAGAAGCATGGGAGAATCAGCACAAAAGTTAGATTGAATTTCGCTCACCCGTGAGTGCTGTAATGAAACTGAAGCCATCAGGAGAAAAACTAAATTCTTCTGAACTCGGTTCCCCTTCAGCCTCGGCATTAAAACCAACATCAGTCGTGCTATTGAGTCACAAACTCCACGTGCCTGAGGGAGGGAGGAAAGGAATATTTATTGAGTGCCTGCTCAGAGCCAGGTACCTCTAGGCTCTGCACATAATGTTTTTGTTTGTTTGTTTTGTGGTGCTAAGATTAAACCCAGGGCCTTGTGCGGGCTGAGCAAATACTGTGCCACCGAGCTACACCCAGCCCATAAGTTACTTCTTTTAGTTTTCGACACAGCCTGGAGGAATTATCATATTCCTCTTATGAAGAAATTTGAAAAGAGTCGATATCCTTTGTGTTCCATAATGCATTTCAAACGACAGTATGGAGAGTTAGGATAAAGGTAGGCAAAGAAACCAGAGCAAAGAAGTCTGAAAGGTAGGGAAATCAAACCAGAGAGGAATATTAAACAGTCTTGTAAGTATACTTTTTAACTTTTTGCTTCCTGTGTGAAAGGGATTCCGTTGTGACTCAAAGCAGTCCAAGGAGTATTGAATTAGGGTCTCCACCCTAAACCTCCAGAGTAACCAATAGGAATGTGTTTTTGTTGTATCCGACGTTTCTCTTCTTTGTACGTGGCAAAAATGGGCTCTGGGAATAGCAGTCTTGAGAACTGAGAGTAAAATGTGTGTCCCCCATACCAAGACTGATGGTGGGGCTACGGCTTCTTAAGGGGTTAGGAAGATAGATTTCCCTAACAGAGTGACCCATGCGTGCCTGAGCCTGGAGCCAGAGTTACCTTCCAGCTCGTTATACCCCACAGCTCCCCCTGGTGGAGAGTCCAGTGTGTCTGTGAGGACAGGTTCAGAAAGCAGGTGACCTGAACCTCTGAACTACTCTGTGAGCGCTTTCTGCCGGACATCGGCTTCCTTCAACATGAACTATACCCCCACCTTTCATTTTATAGAGGACACAGGCTCTCCATTATCCCGAGACTGGCGGCCGGGGAGCCCTGGAACCTACCTGGAGACCTCATGGGAAGAACAGCTGTTGGAACAACAAGAACATTTAGAAAAAGAAATGGAGGAAGCAAAGAAAATGATATCGGGACTACAGGTAGCTCTCTCCCTTGTAGTTTATCCTTATGTACCAACTGATCATTTTCATCACTGTTATCAATTGAAAAAAACCTGCTTTTATTTTTGTATGAGACCAGAGTTGAATGGGGAATTCGGGTAATACACAAAGAGCAACAATTCTTCACATGTGTGCTTTAAGTGGACTTTGTGGGCTGTTTGTAGCACAGCTGTCGGGATTTCTGCTAGCTTAGGAGCCATTACCACCGCCTGTCCAACCCATGCTCTGACTTTGCTTCTCAGGTAGGTTTCTCTCCTTTCTCTTGTTGCAGACCTGGCAACTGCAGCTTTCAGTGAAGAATAGCACTGAATAGTCGGGAATTTTCTTCCAGGAATCCTCCAGCAGGAAAGGTGGAAGAGCCAGTAGTGCCGCCGGGTTTCCATTTGAGTCTAGCTAATGATTTAGCTCACACTTAACGTATTTGCACGTGGTTGCCGGGGCATAATGGTCAGGTGAAAGAGGTTTTTCCTGAGCAGCAGATCCCCTCTGGTCTGCCTGTACCTGCATTGTCAGCTCAGCGAATTGCCTCAGAGACTAGCTAACCCCTTGACACAGTTCCCATCCTAAATGACCCCCTCAATCCAGTGTCTTTGTGTGACCGGCTCTGTTTGGGACATCCTTGTAGTGCGCTGATGACCCTGAAATTGCCTAGGAATATTCCTTTCTGTTTGTGCTGGGAACTGCACGGCTTTGGAATTGTGAAATATTTATGGACACGTAAACAAAGCCCACATTATGTGTGTGGTTCTGGCAGCGGTAGGCGATGGAGGGCGTGCTCCCAGCCAGCCAGCAACAGGGTGGGGACACAAAGGGTTCCTAAAGAAGAAAGGCGATTGGTGCAGTGGGAAGATAATTTGCATAATGTATGCTGTAGGAGCTGCGCAGGGTTGAGGAATGTTTACTGTCTAAACATTCCCAAAGAAAGTTGTGGTCCCCCCCACTTGCTCTATATTTTAAAAATAAATAAATGGCTTGTGAAGCCTTTGAGATCTCTTTTCTTCCTCTTCATTGAAGAATACCTTAATGGATTCTTTTTTACCTGTGTTTTAATAGGAAAATTCCATAGAAAACCTTGGGATTGCACCCAACCAGGTTTTTTTTTTTTTTTTTTTGCAGGGAAATTTGCATTGTATGAACTTTTATTATGCATCAGCTTAGCTCTAGTTTGGTTTATATTTCTTGGTCTGGGAGATATTTGATGGCAGATGAAACAGAAAAGAAAATTGACAGGCAGAAAGTTAGCATCTCTCTGTTCCCGACAAAGAGGAGCTTTGATTCACAGCCACATGATCACAATGAGAATTCAGTTCTATTGTGGAATACAAAAGGACTCAGCATCCACTGGGCTTCTTAACTCTTTCAGTCATGAACAAGTTGCTTGCGGGGCCCAAGGCAGGATTCCTGACTCATCATTATGCCTCGGTTAGGGTTTGTTCAACAGTTTGCCATTTGAGTCGCGTCTGTAAACTTGCTCTCCCTTAGCTTCCTGCAGCTCGGTAGCATCACGTACTTGTCTGTACCTCTATCCATGACTCTATGGGATAATGAGATTCATTTAATTTGCTAAAATTATTATTAGTGCTCAGTAGATGAACTATTGGCTGCATTTTTCTTTTTAAGGGGTTGGGGATTGAACCCAGGGCTTTTGCACTGAGCTACATCTCTAGCCCCTTTTAAAATTTTTATTTTGAAGGAGCCGGGCATGGTGGCACATGCCTGTAATCCCAGCACCAGGGAAGCTGAGGCAGGAAGATCACTGTGAGTTTGAGGCTGGCCTAGGCTACAGAGGGAGTTCCAGGCTACCCTGGACGATGTAGTGAGACCCTGTCTCAAAAAAACAAACAAAAATTTTAATTTTGAGACAGGATCTCACCAAGTTGCTCATGCTGGACTTGAACTTGTGATCCTCCTGCTTCAGCCTCCCAGATTGCTGGAATTTCAGGCATGCGCCATGCCTGGCTTTAAAATATTCTTTATTAATATTTATAAAGTGTTTGTGTTTTATTTATTGAAATGGGATTTAACCTCCGCAATTCTTATCTCGAATTGAATGGGACACACATTTTTCAGTCTTTCGCTGACCTGATAGGTCTCATGCTACCTACCTGCAAGGACAGATCCAAGTTTTGGGGATCCCAAAGTATACAGTTTAGGGGGTTCTTTCTTTAAGAATAAGATTACAAAGCCCAAGCAGTATGAGACAGATGGTCTTGGGAGAGGAAGTGTAGACAGTGGGTTCAAGCTGGAGTTTCCTTAGCTTCAAGGTAAATCTGCCTTGCTCCTTCAAGACCCACTAATACTCTGACGAAAACAGAGTCTGGAGTTGAAATGAATGAGAATGTCTTTGAAAGATGATGTTTTTATTGTTCTACCCAAATTACCACAGAGAGTAAAACTGCAAAATCATTAAATAAAGAGCCAGGCATGATAGTGCATGCCTGTAATCCCAGCACTCGGGAGGCTGAGGCAGGAGGATTACTGTGAGTTTGAGGCCAGCCTTGGCTACAAAGTGAGTGCAAGGCCAGCCTGAACTGCACAGCAAAACCCTGTCTCAAAAAGACCCCCCAAAAAAAAAAAAAATTATTATATAAAAAGCAAAAACCATCCCAAGTCAGTGCTCTCAGTATATTTCAAATAATTCATTATAATTTTTCTGAGACTCAGGGTATAAGTCAGTGATACAGTGACTACCTACAATATGCAAGGCCCTGAGTTCCATGCCGACTACCATAAAACAAGAACAAAAGCAAACAAAGAAACTATCACATATAATACACTTTTCTAAGTCAGTATTTTTGTTTGTTTGAGACAGATTCTTGCTATGTAGTTTAAGCTGTTCTTGAACTTACTATGTAGCTCAAGCTGGCCTCGAACTTGTAGCAGTCCTCCTGCCTCAGCCTCCAGAGTGCTGGGATTACAGGCATGCACCATCATGCCCAACTAAGCTAGGATAATTCTGCACTGCTTTCCAGGTTGTGATTTTAATTTGCATTGAATTTACCAAGCCCAACTCTGCAGCAAGTCATCTCACAGGGAGTGAAGTTTCTCTCTGCCTTTGTGGTTATTCAGGCCTTACTGCTCAATGGATCCTTACCTGAAGATGAACAGGACAGGCCTCTGGCCCTCTGCGAACCCGGAGTCAATCCCGAGGAGCAGCTGGTAAGCTCCACCTTCTGTGATGAGACACTAAATCTGCTTTAGGTATTTCACTTAGTTTTAGCATTTGACTCTACTGACCGTGACTTCTTGAAATGCACTTTCTTGACCCCAGATCTTTGTTGCTTTTGTCTTTTTAAAATTGTTATTATTAGAACGTCTGCCATACGGCATGCTGATGTTCATTTTGCGGAATTGGTATATGCGTGTATCATAGCTTGGTCATTTTCAAACCCTTCCTCTCCCCTCCATCCCTCCTTCCCAGGTCCCTCCCTACTTCTGAGAGTCTACCTACTAGTTTCCTATTGTCTCTCCTTTATTTTATTTACTTTTTACTTTAAGTTTTTGTGTTTATTAGTACATATTTGCAGTACATAGTGGTTACATTCATTGTACGGCGTTGGTATGTGTACCTTACCTAACTCTTTCTTCATTTCCTTCCCCCCTCCCTCCTTGCAACTCTCGGTCCCCTTCGCTTTTGCAAAAGATGTCTCTCCCTGTTTCCTATGAGCTGTCTTTTGTTTTGCTTTTCTTTTTTTTGTTTGTTTGTTTCTCTGGTACCGGGAACCGAACTCACGACCTTGCGCTTGCCAGGCAGGCGCTTTGCCGCTGAGCTAAATCCCCAGCCCCTGTTTTGCTTCTCAATTTATTTACCCTTTGGGTTTCTCGTATAAGAGAAATCACGTGATATTTAAGCTTATGAGTCTGATTTATTTCACTTAACATCGGGGTCTCATGTGCATCCATTTTCTTACAGATGCCATTTATTTATATTTTAGGTTTCTTATAAAAGACAACGTGATATTTAACTTTCTGAGTCTGGCTCATTTTGCTTAGTATGATGATGGTCTCAAGTTCCATGTACAATGGTCCCTTGGTTCATGAACTTAATTTGTTTCACGATTTTGGAAAAGATGGCCATGTTTAAAGATGGCTGTGGTCGTGTTTGTCACCCAATGTAGAGTTTGCAAACAAATACAAAATTTTACCAAACCAATTTGATTGCAAACAAAAGCGTCTATGAACCAAGGTGCCACTGTATTTTTCTTTTTCTTTTTTTAAATGAAGAAACGATTTTTTTTTTTCAGTACTGGGAATCGAACTCACAACCTTGCGCTTGCCAGGCAGGCGCTGTACCACTGAGCTAAATCCCCAGCCACTGTATTTTTCATACAAATGACTTTCTTTCTCTTTCTTTCTTTCCCTCTCTCCCTCTCTCCCTCTCTCCGTCTGTCCCTCTCTCTCTCTCTCTCTCTCTCTCTCACTCATACACACACCTTTTAAGACAAGATCCTGCTATGTACTTTAGGCTGGCCTGAACTCATTGTGTAGCCCAGGCTGGCCTTGAGCTTGAGGAGATCTTGGGAATTACAGGTTTGCGCCACCACCTCCAGAAATTGCATTCTTCCATGGCTGAATAATATTCTATTGTGTATATTATACCACATTTTCTTTAGTCATTCTGACGTTGACAGGCAACGAGGCTGCTTCCAAAGCTTAGCTATTGTGAACTGTGCTGTGATAAATGTGGGCATGCGTGTATCACCCTAGTATGATGTCTTTAATTCTTTCAGAAATATACCCAAGAGAGGTATATCTGGGTCAAATGGTATTTCTACTTTTAGTTGTTTCATAGAATCTCCCTACTGATTCTTTTTTGGTTATTTTGGGGTTTGTTTGTTTGTTTGTTTTTTGTGACAGTGTCTCACTGTATAGTTCGTGTTGGTCTTGACCTCACTATGTGGCCCAGGTTGACCTAGAACTGATGGTGATCTTCCTGCCTCAGCCTCCTAAGTGCTGGGATTACATGTGGCCCCACCGTGCCTGGCTTTCACTGGTATCTATAGTGGCCGTACTAGTTTACATTCCTACCAACAGGGTAGGAGGGATTTTCCCTCTTCCTCCTCCTCACCAGCACTAGGTTTTTGCATTCTTGATGACAGCCATTCTGAGATATGATGACATCTCAAAGTTGTTTTGATTTGCATTTCCCTAGTGACTAAAGATGTTGAACATTTTTTCCAAGTACTCGTTGGCCATTTGTGGTTCTTCTTTTAAGAAGCGCCTATTCATTTCAGTTGCCTGTATTTTAATCAGGCATTGTTTAGACTCTTTCTCTTTGGTCAGCAAGTGTTTCTTGTGTGCTCACTCTGGCAGGTACTGTTTCACAACAGTGACAAAACAGACCTAAGACCCCACCCTCATGCAGTTTATGTCCAGGTCCCCTTTCCTGCCAGCGTCGTAAGTGACGATCTTCCTCCACATTCCATCCTGGGCCCTCACCCGCCTCATCTCTCACCTGGGCAGTGCTCCCTGTGTCCATGTCGTTACCGTTGGCCCCTGCTTCTCAGATATACATATATATTTCCAGCTCAGATCTCTCTGTGGCATTCTAGATTTGTATATGCAACATGCTGATGATCTCCATTTGTATGTCCCGTGAGGATCTCAACTCCCATGAGTCCTAACTTTGGCTCTTTTTTTTTTTTTTTAACCACTACCCAACCACCAGAAATTCATTCACCCTAAGGCCCCAGGCAGAAACCCAGGCATCATCCTTGAATCTTTCGTCTACTTTTCTCCATTCTCACAGCAGCCACTTTGATTCAGGGCTTTGTTTGGCCTTCTGTGAGCCTTCTAGCTGGTTTTCCTGATTCGTTTTCTATCCCTCTCTGATTTCTTTTTGTATAAAATGTCAAGAATACTAATTTACCTTAAAGGCAAACATCATTCTGTGATACCTCCGCAGAAGACTCTCCATGACATCCCCACTGCCTTCCCCACCCTTCATGATCTGCCCCATTTTCCTTTCCAGTCTTGACATCTCGTCTTCCTGTTAGCACACCACCAGCTTCCAGCATGCACATCTTTTTAAAAATTTTTTTCCGGTACCGGGAATCGAACTCACGACCTTGCGCTTTCCAGGCAAGCTCTGTGCCACTGAGCTAAATCGCCAGCCCCAGCATGCACATCTTTATTTTAAGCTTTGGCCACGTTGCTCTACTTGATGAACTTTGGGTGCCCGCCTCCATCCAAGGGCAGGGACTGTTTCCTTTTCTCTGTATCCACAATATAGAGTTGGAATCTAGTAGGTGCTCAATAAACAATTTGTTGACTAATGGAATTTCATAGCATAGGTGCCTAGCATCTCTTTTTGTTTTATATTCAGATCATAATCCAGAGTCGTCTGGATCAGAGTATGGAGGAAAATCAAGACCTCAAGGTATGTCACAACATGTACATTTCACTAACTGAAAAAAAAATATGGGAATGTTATGTACCCAAGTTCAGAACAATTCTTGGGGGAAGAAAAGGAATGCAGAATTGGAGCATTCGCTGAATCTGTCTCATGTCCTCAATGGAGAGAGAGAGATGCATACAAAATGTCAAAAAAGGAGCACCTACAAAAAAGGAGCACCTTTTTAATCTTGACAGTGAGTAACCAACATCTATTATTAGTCATACCTTTCTACATGTTTGAAATATTTAATTAAAAAAGAAAAACTAAAGCTGGACATGGTGGTGCACATCTGTAAATCCAGCACACTTCAGAGGCTGAGGCAGGAGGATTGCCAGGAGCTCAAGGCCAACCTAGACTACATAGTGCATTCAAAGTCAGCCTAAACTACAAAGTAAGACCCTATCTCAAAAAAAAAAAAGAAAGAGGGAGAGAGAAAGAGAGAGAGAGGAAAGAAAGAAAAAAGAAAAAGTGGATCTTAGAGTAGTCTTTTTTATGAGTAGCTCCCAGAATTCTCCTAGGTCAGGGTTTTAAATTTTTTGAGTCATTGATGTATGATTAAAGCATTAACCCTTTCTGCAGTAATATGCACACATAGAGCCTGAGTTTTTAATAGAATTAACTTTGTTTCTTTGTGGTATTGGGAGTTAAACCTTGAGCCTTGCATATCCAGGCAAGCATTCTACCACCGAGCTATAACCTCAGTCCTAGTACAGTAACTTTTGAGCCCATCTCTGCAGTCCAGATTAAAAATCCTGCTTTCAAAGGTGGGAGTAATGACACACATCTGTAATCTTAGCTACTCTGGAGGATGAGGCAGGAGGATCAAAAGTTCAAAGCCTGCTTGTGCAACTTAGTGAGACCTTGCATCAAAATAAAGTAAAAAGTGAGTTTGAGGCCAGCCCTTGCTACATAGTGAGTTCAAGGCCATCGTGAGGCCCTCTCTCAAAAACAAACAAAAATAAATAAATAAAAAGAGCAGGATGTTGCACTTGCCCAGCATGAATCAGGTTCTAGGTTCATTACCCAGTACTGCACATAAAAAAGTCCATTTCCTTTTTTTTTTCTTTTTGAGACAGAGTCTTCCTATGCAGTTCAGGCTAGTGTTGAGCTCACTTTGTAGCCTAGGCTGGCCTCGAACTCACAGCAGTCCTCCTGCCTCAGCCTCCCCGGTGCTGGGATTACAGGTGTGCACCACCATGCCCGGCTCCATTTCCTTTACATTAATTACAAATTACTTGTGTGATGCATTATGAAAAGAGTGGAATCTGGGTGAGAATCTCCTTTTTAGTGACAATCATAGACAGAATTAATTTGTTGTAAAGGAAAATTACCCAGTGTTTCACAACTAGACCAAATGGGGTTTTGTTTGGTCCACAAAGAACAACAGTCCCTGGGAGAATCAAAGCCTTCCAACCCTTTGCTGAACACTAAAGCTGAGATAATGATGCTCTGACACTGGGGTAGGCACATGTAGATATACATTTCAGTGAGAAGGCGTTAGATGACCAAGGTTAGGTTTTCCTGTTGGGGAGGATCGCTGACTGTAGAGAGCCTATGTATGCAGCGTCCTCTTTGGCAAAGCTCTTCTCTCCCTGGACAGCTGGGCAGGGTGCCTCAGAGAAGAACAGAATGGGCCTGTGCTTGTTTCCCTGGGTCCTGCTTTCTGCTTACTGGGCCACATCTGCTTCCTGCCTATGTAGAGAGTTAGTCTTTCATGGAATAGTTAACTGGGTTTTGTCTTCGTGCTGACAGAATGAGGTAATGCTTCTGAAGCAACCAGATGCCACCATCTGACCTAACTATATTTGGTTTGCAGAAAGAACTGCTGAAATGTAAACAAGAAGCCAGAAATTTACAGGGGATAAAGGTAAAAAGGAAGATATTTCATTCTTTAAAGTCTTTGTAAGGTAAAGTAGTCTGTGGGTGAGTGGGGAGAGTTGGGTTCTAGGAAGATCACCGGGAGGTGCTAGGGGTCTTCTAGCAGGCTCTGTGCTGCTGATCAAGAAAGGGCTTGGAGCCGGGCGTGGTGGTGCACGCCTGTAATCCCAGCACTTGGGAGGCTGAGGCAGGAGGATCGTTGCGAGTTCGAGACCAGCTTGGGCTACAAAGTGAGCTCAAGGCCAGCCTGAACTGAATAGCGAGACCCTGTCTCAAAAAGGCAAAAAAAAAAAAAAAAAAAAAAAAAGGGCTTGGTGGGCAAGAAGAGAGACGTGGGGGGCAGATCTGCTTCGCTGAGGCTTATGTCTGGTCATTGTGACTCATGGTGCTTCTATGGTGGGATCACTTCCATTCTCTTTTGTTTAGATTGTAGTTTACTTAGTTTTGGAATAGTTAGTAATAATCCACTTCTTTACCCAATTATAAAAAGACTGTGAATACAGCTTGACACCTTACTTTTATCTCTTAGCAGTGTAGCTTGGAGATCATTCAGTTTCATAAAGGCCTTCCTAGGTCTTCATAGAGCTACAAAATATTCCATATATATGATAATGTATGTAATCCGTCTCCCATTGGTGGTGTTTTAAGTTCTTTCCCATCTTTTGCTAGTACCGTGATCTAGCTAAGCACCTTGATTGTATGTTGCTTCCCCCAGGTACGATTGTGTCTGCTCAATAAATACCTAGAAGTAGAAAAGCCATTGCACTTTTCTTCTTCCCTGCACGTCCATTCATGACAAGCCTAGAGTGTAACTCAGCAATACTTTTCCAGAGTCTATTCTATCATACGAAGGTTGGCCTTAAAAACTTTAGAACTGTTAGTCACAGAAGTACCTTTTGTCCAGCATGCTTCAGGTTCTGGGTTCATTACCCAGTACCGCACATAAAAAATTCCATTTCCTTTACAGTAATTACAAATTACTTGTATGATGCATTATGAAGACAGTGGCCTGAGGTTAGAGTCCACGCGTTTATCTCACCGTCTGGTTGTGGAGCTCATCTTTGTCCATAGTCGCTCTAACATCCCATGGGGTGCATTTTGGAAATTATCCTCTAAAATACTGATTCCAGGGACATCTTAGACTGCCGCTGTCACGTACTGTCCTGGAAGGCAGCATAATTAAGAATGGGCTCCCACATTCCCTGTAGCTTACACTATTTCTTTGCAGTCTGTGAAGATTGCAATCTATATAAACATGCTGGACCATAGCTCCAGCCCGTGAGTTCTATTTGAAGTCACTGTTAGAGGAATGTATGACAGCTTCAGTATGTATAGCCTGCCTACCTTGTCTTAGGCATAGTAGGAAACAAGAGGGTCCAAGCTGAGGAAAAGATAGCTTAAAGCTGGTAAGATCTTAGGAAGTTGAGACACGGTACCATCACTCCAAGAATACTTCTCAGCAAAGAGAATATAATCCCTTGCAGTCCTGGTCCAGACCAGGCATTGGAAGCCAATGGAAGCAGGGCTGCAGCATGACTCTGGCAGCCAGAGTGGGAGTGACTCCGGGGATTCCTTCTGAGCAGTCCAGGGAGCGGGGATAGAGCCATCTCTCTAGAAAGTGCTGACTGGGCACAGAGATAGAAGGAAAAAGAGCTGCACTACATGGAGTACTTATATGCCCAGATGCAGAGGAGCAGGCCAGTCTGGGAGGAACGAGTGTGTTGTCAAAGGTGAGTGTCACCAAAGTAGGAAGTGGCAGACTGGTAGTTGGAATCTAGGTCTGTCTGACCCCAGATCACTCATTCTCTGACTAGGCACAGTGCTATCAGGAGTGAGGTACAGGGGAGGGACAAATAGCAGCTAGAGGAAAAAATCAGGTTTTCTCTGCGTGGTAGGAAAATGGATAGGGTTTTCCTTTAGTTGCTATGGTCCCAGAGGGGGACAGAAAATCCCTGCTCAGCTCCTTGTGAGATTCTTTTACTCCTTTTGTTTCCCGGTTTGCCAGAACTAATACACAGTAAAGCGTTTAGTAACTTTTAATAATATCTGGCTGATTGATTGAGACTGCAATAATTATATGCTTCCTTTCCCAGGATGCCTTGCAGCAGAGACTGACTCAGCAGGACATGTCTGTTCTTCAGCTCAAACAAGAACTACTGAGAGCGACTATGGACAAAGATGAGCTCCACAACCAGAATGTGAGTTAAACGCGTGGACTGTAACCTCAGCGGGCCCCACAGCCAAACAGGACGATACCTTAGTTCTGTTGGATCTGCCATCCTTAGCTCTCTTGTCTTGCTTCTGGGATTCCTGCCCTCAGGGTCTACAATTATTCATATCCTCCATCAGATGCATTTCCATGTCTAGGTGAACGCCCATAACATGCTGGAAAGGAAGGTCCTTAGCTCCTTCAAGTTCGAGCACGCTGAGGCTAAATAGTTCTTTTACAGTCTGATGGGCTTACAAAGAGATGGAGAGCGGCTCTGTGTTTTTATCACAGCCGTGCCGTCCCTGCACAGTTAAAGTGGCAGCATTAGCTCCCGTTACCGTGAGGGTCGGTGTACAGCACCTCCGTGCCAGCGAAGCCTTTCTCACCCTTGCAGGTGGATCTGCAGAGGAAGCTGGATGACAGGAACCGGCTCCTGGGAGAGTATAAAGTAAGAATGAGTATTGTTTCGGAAATGACTTCCGTGAGACCTTTTATGAACAGCCCATTGTTACTGTGGCTTCTCTAATTTCATCCTTGTTTGCTGGAAAGAAATCTCTTTTTATGACTCTTGATCCACTACCCTTGAAGAATAGATGGCACAGCTGGGAAAAGCAGAACAGAACAAGGAGCCTGGGGATTTCAGTACTAGGGTTACCTAACTCGTACTGAAGACACATAGTCGTCCTCTACAAATAGTTCTTTCCGCTTTACCCTTCCAAGAACTCTTTGTACTGTATGAGACTGTTATGTGTGTCAGGTCTTCCTGCTATGGTTTGAGGAACAGCCTGTGCCTTTGAGGCTCGGCTTCACTTGAGTAGAAATCACATTTGCAAATGGCAAGCCGTTCGGTGTCCCTGCTTTTGCTACACATCTGAAAGCTCTGTCTCCCTTGCAGAAAGAGCTGGGGCAGAAGGATCGCCTTCTTCAGCAGCACCAGGCCAAGTTGGAAGAAGCACTCTGGAAGCTCTCAGATGCCAGTCACCAGCAGGTCGCCCCATGCTCAGCCGCTGACTTTCCGGCCCCTCTGACCTGAAGAAACGTTCTTCTCATTTAATTTCTGTGTTGCAGGTGGATCTAGAATGGGAGCTAGAACACAGAGACGTGCTTTTGGCTCACTGTATGAAAAGAGAGGCAGAGGAGGTAACCTGGAGTTTTGGTGCTCCCTTCCACATTAGGAGATGAAGAGGTAGATTCTGTTTTTTACACAGAGCTGAACCAAGGCCACAGGGTGGCTTGTGAAGAGGATGTAGGGTGAGAAGTACAGGTTCCAGGACAAGGAAATCTGATTTCAAATTCTAGCTTTACCTGGTCCACGTCGTATGACCTGAAGATGGGAATAATGCCAATGTAAACAAAAAAATTAATCGTTGTTCATTATGAAGCAATGCCAGGGGTTGCGAGAGCAGCCTTCTGACATCCCCCAGTGGCTGTGACTGAGGGGTACCTTGGGGGCCCCGAGGCTGAGGCTTTCATTTCATTCATTCTTCATTCATAATCCCTACTAACCGTCACATGCAGCAGTGGTACAGCAGTGCATGAGAGGAGAACTGTCTGCACCTGAGAAGTTTGCATGTTAATAGAAACATGAAGCAAATGAAGTATGTACTCAGCCAGGTGTGGTAGTGCACACCTGGAACCCTAGCACTTGGGAAGCTGAGGTAGGAGGATCATGGTGAGGCCAGCCTGGGTTACAGAGCGAGTTTAAGGCCAGTCTGAGCTAAATAGCAAGATCCTGTCTCAAAAACACAATAATAATAATAATGATGGTAATAATAATGTCAAGAAGCGAGAAAAGTACAGCAGGACAGCTTGGTTCAGAATTCTCCCTTTAACAAGCACATCTCTTCTTGCTATTATAGGGAACCAACTATAGCAGTTACAACTCTCAAAGCAACGGCTTTCTCATTCCAACGGCAGGGAAAGGAGCTGCTTCCGTCACTCACAGAGGGGTAGGTTCCCAGGATTAGAGCGCAGGTCTGCCACTTCTAGCTGAAACCAGAGCAGTGCCCTGCTGTCAGCAGTGGACCCAGCCGTTTTATAGTCCAGGGTCTGAATTTCCTTCTTTCTCCCTCTTTCTTTCTTTCTTTCTTTCTTTCTTTCTTTCTTTCTTTCTTTCTTTCTTTCTTTCTTTTTTTCTTTCTTTCTTTCTTTCTCTCTCTCTTTCTCTCTCTCTTTCTCTCTTTCTCTCTTTCTCTCTCTCTCTTTCTCTTCCTTCATTCCTTCCTTCTTTCCTTCCTTCTATATTGGAAATTGAACCCAAGCCCTCCATGTGCTAGGAGAATGCTGTATCACTGAGCTATATCTCCAGCTCTTTTTAAAATTTTATTTTAAGATTAGGTCTTGCTAAGTTGCCCAGGCTGGCAACTTGATTCTTGAACTCAGAATCCTCCTGCCTCAGCCTCCTAAGTAGCTGGGAATATAAACATTCATCACCGTGCCAGGCTCAGCCCCCTAATTCTTGCATCTGTGAGGTATATAAAGATGTGAGGCACTACCCATTTAAAAGAATTAGTGGCGCTGGGGATTTGGCTCAGTGGCACAGCGCCTGCCTGGCAAGCATGAGGTCGTGAGTTCGATTCCCGGTACCAAAAAAAACCAAAAACAAACAAACAAACAAAATAAAGAGTTAGTGGGGCTGGGGATGTGGCTCAGTTGTAGAGCTCTTGCCTTGCATGCACAAGGCCCCCTGCGTTCGATCCCCAGCGCCACATACATAAAAAAAAAAACCCAAGAATAATAATAATAAATAAATACATTTTTTAAAGAATAATGATCATTACCAAAAAAATTAAAAAAAATAAAAGAATTAGTAGACTAAGTATAGGCCTGCTTCTGAGGAGAAAAAATTTCCCCCACAAAAATAAAAGGACCTGTTCTAGAAACGGCTCTGCTTCATCTGTTTAAGCCCGTTGGTCGGGACTTGGCTTGTAGTAGTGCGCTGTGCCGTGCAGGCAGCACCTCACTCTTGCCCGCAGACCAGCGACCTGCAGCTTGTCCGGGATGCTCTGCGCAGCCTTCGCAACAGCTTCAGCGGCCACGACCCTCAGCACCACACCATCGACAGCTTGGAGCAGGGCATCGCCAGCCTCATGGAGCGCCTGCGCGTCATGGAGACACAGAGGAAGCAGGAAAGAAAGGTAGCGCCCTCGCTGGGACTTCTCACCTAGGCGAGCTCCCGGGGAAGCTTGGTATTACACATTTTAATGTCGATGCAGGCAGCGCTAAAAGACATGTAAGATCCTGCTGAAATTTCATCGGTTTTCTCTCTGGTTTTCCTCTCGGTGGAGCTGACCTCAACATAGTATGACAATCCTAGGAAGGAATTCGTGGTAACTCTTGCTTTAGCCGCTGTGTAACGGAGGGTCTCCTGCACATTCTTCTCCCCTTTCCCTCAAATGAGCTTGGCAATGAATGAGAAAACATATAGGAAATGCATTGGAAACTGGAAAGCCTTTTACAAACGTGCATGACTCTTGTTAGGATAACTACGTTAAATTTTACATATTGTGGAAGAAGAGGTGGTAGAAAATTATATAGTTCAGGCTCCCCTTTATGTCGTTTACGTGTCGTGTAAGTTCTTTGATTGTAACTCTTGTGGTTTTGGTGTGGCTCCCCAGGTTCGAGGCAAATCACCCAGAAGTCAGTCAGGCAGTGAATACCGGGAGTCCTGGCCGCCTCATTCCAGTAAGTACCGATTGGTGCTCAGCAGGGACTCCCGGCACGTTCGACTAGAATGTAGTGTTTGTGCTTCACTTGTGTCACGTGTTTTCCCCTCAACAATACTGCAGCTGTGTCAGTTCCGTGGCCGTGAGGACACATGCATCAGCCGGTGCCATTCAGCCATGCGCCGGGTGACACTGACTCCGGGGTTATGTATCTGGAAAGTAAAGCTCAAAATATTTATGCTGAACAAAGTAAAATATAAAACAAAAATGTACGTATAGGTGGGTATGGAGGTGCATGTCTGTAATCCAGGCTACTCAAGAGGCAGGGCTGCACATGCAGGGCCAGCCTGAGCAATTTAGTGAGATCCTGTGTGAAAATTTTAAAAAATTAAAAAAGGACCGGGAACATTGCTCAGTAGTAGGTCACCCTTAGGTTCTGTTACGTGACACAGACACAGACAGACAGACAGACACACACCCCATCCTTTAGGCCCAGATAGCACACTTACCAAAAAAAATCCACTTTTCCCTAGGGGCAACAAATTTCATTTCTTTGGGAATTTTCCTCCAAATGTTGAGTGTTAGCTCTGTTTAAGTCCTACAAAATATTTTGCACCATCTAGTGGCTGTGGTGAGGGAATATGTTTTAACCTGTTTCCCATCCACACTTTTTGTATTTTTTCCCCCCTGTTCATTTCAGCTCACTCTAAATCTACCCTATTTGCTGGTGTCAGTTTTAGTTTCGGTCTTACCTTTTTGGTTTAATACATTGCTAACTTTTTTACCCAGGCCCAACCTAAAACTATCTAAATAATCTATAAAAACCAAATATAAAAAGCTGACCAGCTGGCCATGGTGGTGCATGCCTATAATCCCAGCACTTGGGAGGCTGAGGCAGGAGGATCTCCATGAGTTCAAGGCCAGTCTAGGCTTCGTAGTGGGTTCAAAGCCAACCTGAACTGCATAGCAATCCCTTGTCTCAATTAAAAAAAAAAAAAAAAGCAAAAGCTGATTAGAACCAGTTTGTAATGTAATGTATAGAATTTTTAAAACCATATTAAAATACAGAACCTATCCAGGCATGATGATACATGCATGTAATCCCAGCACTCTGGAAGGCTGAGGCAGGTGGATCACGGGGTTGAGTCCAGCCTGGACAACTTAATGAGTGATGTCTCAAAATAATTTTTTTTTTTTAAGCATTTAATGTGTGGCTTCAAACCACCCATATATGTTTCCCCTGGACACCTTAATCTTCTCAGCTCTGCTGCTGAAAAGTTTGGCCTTCATGGTGATGGCTGCTTTGGGAGCTTTGCCGTCCCCAGAACTTTGTAGCAGCCTGATGGCATGACATCAACGATGGGAACTGCTCCGGCCTTGTTTCTGGCAGCGTTTATTTGCCTCTGCTCACTGACCAATGTCCACTTTTTTTTTTGTTTTGTCTTTTTGAGACAGGGTCTCGCTATGCAGTTCAGGCTGGCCTTGAGCTCACTTTGTAGCCCAGACTGGCCTCGAACTCACAACGATCCGCCTGCCTCAGCCTCCTGAGTGCTGGGATTACAGGTGTACACCACCACGCCTGGCCCAGTGTCCACATTTATCAAGGCTGACAGTTGGGCAGAAGCTCCGGTTCTCCTCTAGCTGGTAACCGCCCAGAGCAGCCTTCCCACAGTAACCTGGGTGCTGTTTGTTCAGGCTGGTCTTGTGGTGATGCGTGTTACCAGCATGACCCTGGCCTCCTAGGTGTGTCCAGTGTTTGTTGATGCAGCCTTGGCCGTGGCTCACGTCGCCCTGAAGTCTCCAGGTCTTCTTCAGTCTGTTCTTCTTTTTTTTTTTTCCGGTACCAGGAATTGAACTCACGACCTTGCGCTTGCCAGGCAGGCGCTGTGCCGCTGAGCTAAACCCCCAGCCCTCTTCATCAGTCTGGATAGCATGCTGGCAGCTCAGATGACAGAGGCCAAAATAAAGATAAAAGGGCTGAAGATGGAGCTCAGGGCAAGGCCCTGCGGTCCGTCCCTGAGTACCACAAAACAGCAGCAGCAGCAGCCACAGTCAAGAGCCAAAGTAAATAAGAGAACCAAACCCAGGTGTGGTAAACACACTGAAACCATCAAACGGGATTGGAAGTACTGCATCTATGGTGAGGCCTCGTGCAGTGATACACACCCCTAATCCTAGCACTGGGAAGCTGAGGCAGGAGGATTGCCATGAGTTTGAGGCCAGCCTGGGCTTCACAGTGAGACTCAACCAAAAATAAATAACTAAAATAACTAGGGCCAGGGATATAGCTCAGAGGCACAGCGCCTGCCTGGCAAGCACAAGGTCCTGAGTTCGATTTCTGGTACCCTCCCCAAGAAAATAAATAAATAAAATAGCTGTGATGAATATGTTAAATGCTGTAGTGAAAATATTGACATCATACATGTACAGATGGTTTTTTTTTTTTTTTTTTTAGCAATGATGAGAATTATAAGAAGCAAAATAGAAAAGCTAGACCGGAGATAAAGGTGGAGATTGCCTTCAATGAGCTCCCCAGTAGACTCAACAGGGCTGAGGAAAGCATCGGCAAACCTGAAGGAAGGCTAATGGAAGTTCCCCAAACCTGAACTCAGAGAGAAAAGAGTAAAGGACAGGAAACAACCAGGGCATCAATACCTGGGGGAGGGTTGGAGAAGTGAGTGGGGGGAGAGCTCAGGGGTCTGGCATGAGCGAGGTCCTAGGATCAAGCCCCAGCACTGGAAGGAAAAAAGAAACTCGAGGGAAAAAATACCAGATAGATTAAAATGTGTAAAATTGGTATCCACGAAGAGGAAAAGTAAGAACAGGGCAGGAGAAATATTTGAAGAGCTAGTGGTCAAAATTTTTCAGACAATAGCAGAAGACATCAAACTATAGATACGGGCAGTTTGAAGAACCTTTAGAAGGATGAATAATGATAGGTTCAGGTTGCTGAAAAGCAAACAAAAAGAATCTTGAAGGCAACCAAAAGGGAAAAACCATTATGTGTTTTTTTTTGTTTGTTTGTCTTTTTGAGGCAGGGTCTTGCTGTGCAGTTCAGGCTGGCCTTGAGCTCACTTCATAGCCCAGGCTGGTCTTGAACTCGCAGCGATCCTCTTGCCTCAGCCTCCCGAGTGCTGGGATTACAGGTATGTGCCACTATGCCCAGCCATTATAGAACAAAGATAATAATAGCAGAATTCTCGTCAGAAATTAAGTAAGCCATAGGATGGGGGAGCATCTTTAAAATATTGAAATAAAAACAAATCCCTGTAAATCTAGAACTGTACACCTAGGGAACATACCATTTTTTAGACAAAGACTGGGAGAATTTCTTGTAAGCAAACTAAAAGAAGAAATGTTAAAAGAATGTTTTCAGGCAGAAGGAATATGATACTAGACATAAATTGGCATCTACAGAAAGAAATGGTTAAAATGAAGGTAAATATTAAAATCTATTATTTTTAATTATCTAACAGATAAATTGTTTAAAGCAAAAAAAATACTGATGTGTTGTGGATACATGGCATGTGTAAAAGTGAAGTGTAGGACAATATTAGCGCAAAGTTTGGGAGGGAGGAATTTGGACTACACTGCTGTAAGTTCCCTATACTATAGGTGAGGTCATATGTTGTTGTTTTTGTTTCAAAGTTGGGCCTGGACCATCAGCAAATGAATGAATAAAGAAAATGTGGTATTTATACACAATGGAGTACTACTCTGCCATAAAGAAAGATAAACTTCAGGCATTTGTCAGTAAATGGGCATACCTTGAGACCATAATATTAAGTGAAATAAATCAGACACACAAGCTTCAATATTGCATCTCATATGAGAAACCCAAAATATAAATAAAGAACAAAATAAAAGATAGTAGGAAGTAGGGTGACCCTTCTCAAATGGGAAGGGGAACAAGAGGTGGAGGTGGGCAGGGAAAGAGAATGGAAAAAAAGAAAGAAAAAAATGGAAATAGAGGTTTTGTAAATGGGAAGGGTACCAAGAGTTAGAAGGAGCAGGGATGGATGGGAGGGGTAGGGGATTAAAAAAATAATTAAGATGTATTCTGTATATATAGCAACTCCCCATGATGAATATAATCACTGTGCACTGCAAACATGTACTAATACACACAAAAAAGTTTGACCAGGAAATGTAGCTCAAGGGTAGAATGTGTGCTTATCATGTCCAAGGTACTAGGCTCAATCCCTAGCACCACAAAAAAAAAAGCATTCTGTGACTACTTAAAAATATAAATCCAAAGTCTAACTGCTAACACTAAATTTTTTCAAACTAAAAAATAAGTTGATAGTAGAGTAAAAAAATTCTATTTTTTTCTTTCTTTTTGTTTTTTGGTGGTACTGGGGCTTGAACTCAGAGGCTAGGCAAGCAGCCTATCACTAAGCCACATCCCCAGCCCCCAAAAATTCTAAACCTATTCAGTCCACTACCAAAAATACAGGATGTAAAAATCTCATTGTTAAATGAGCTTATGTGTTGAAATGATACAGCCAAATTGAAAATGTGTAACACATTGAACTTTATAAAGACCGTATGGAAGAAAAAAGAAAAAAAAAAGAAAAAAGTAAAATTCTCAATCCAAAGGGACAAGGAAAAAAAGAGGATAAAAAAGGAACAAAGATCACAGAACAAATATAAAACTAAGAAGAAGGTAGATTTTTAAAATATTCAGATGTTCATTATTAGTGCTTTACCTCACTTCCTAGGTTATTTCTTTACCAGCCTCATACTTATTAGGTTGGCGGGGAAAACAGTCTTTGAGCAAAACAAAGCTGTATTTTAAATGTGGTGCTGCCACTAAGGAACTCTGGAACCTCAGGAGTTGAATACTTTGCCCCTGTAACCACTGTTCATTAGTGGTCTATGAGGGCAATAGTACCCAGCTAATAGGGTTGCTTCAAAAATTGAAAAGATGCTATACTCAAGTTCTTGGAAGAGTAACTGGTCTGAGGACCAGTTTGAACACCATTGACCAAAAGACTCTTATTGTATTTAATGCAAGTTGGCAGATTTTTACTTAAACATATAACAATTACATTAAACATGAATGGTCTAAGCATATCAAATAAAATATTGTAGATTATAAAATTGGATGAAAAAATAAGACCTAACAATATACTATCTGTAAGAAGCCGAATTTAAATACAATTATATATACATATAAATACAGTGTATATATATGTATATGAACAAAGTAGAGAATGCCTAGTATGGTAGTCTCAAAATAAAAAGTAGTCTCAGAATTTGTCTCAAAATAAAAAATAAAAAGGGCTGGGGATGTAACTCAGTGTGAAGGGATTCAACCCCTAGTACTGTACCTGAAAGGAAGGAATGGAGGAAGGGAGAAAGGGAGGAAGGGAAGGAAAGGAAAAATTACGTAATGAGGGACTGGGGATTTAGCTCAGCGGCACAGCGCCTGCCTGGCAAGCACAAGGTTGTGAGTTGGATTCCCAGTACTGGAAGAAAAACAAAAAACAAAACAAAACAAAAAATTACGTAATGATAAAAATGATCAGTTTCACCAAGAAGACAGTAGCAATCCTAAATATGTGTGATCAGAGTTTCAAACTATGGGAAGCAAAAATTAATTTAAAAAATAGACAAGTCAATAGGTACACCTGGAGGCCCAATACTCTTTTTTTCTTACGGTAATCAATAGAATATCAATAAGGATTTAGAAAATCTATACAACACTATCAAAGTCATCTGTTTGTGATTATATTTATTCCTGTAATTTTGTGATTATATTTAGAAAACACTCCATCTAATAATGATGGTAGAAAGAGATTCAAGTGTGTTTGCAAAATATACCAAATAGTCCATAGTCTAGCCACAGGACAAAACTCAACATACTTAAAAGGACTGAAATCATATTAGTGTATTTTCTGACCATTATGGAATTAAATTTGAGATCAATAACAGAAAAATATCTGGAAATCCCCAAATATTTGGAAATTGAAGAACATATTCCTAAATACAGTATCCTGTTGGTCAGAGGAATTTGTAAGAAAAATTGCGGCAAAAGGATAGCCACATAAATGAGTAGAATACAACCGAGTTAAAAATAGACTCACAGCCAGGTTCAGTGCCACACACCTTCTAATCCCAGCACTCAGGAGGCTGAGGCAGGAAGATCACTGTGAGTTTGAGGACAGTTCATAGCAACATTACTGTCCTATGTGCTTCGTTGTATTGTAACTGGTTTTCTATCTTACTTCACTAGACCCTGAACTGCTTCAGGGTCAGGATTTTATCTAATTTATTTGTATATCTGTAATACTTGACATGTAACAGATAACCAATAAACATTTTATTTGATTTATATTTTTTGTGTAGTACTGGGATGGAACCCAAGGCCCTTGTACTGGGCTACATCTCCAACATTCCCCACCACCCCCTTAATTTGGACATGTTCTGGCCAAGTCACTAAGCTGCCCAGTTGCCCAGGCTGGGCTGGAACTTGAGATTCTCCTGCCTCAGCCCCTCCAAGAATACTAGAATCGCAGGCATATGCCACCACCCCTTGCTTTTATTTTTCATTCACATATTTTAAATAAATAGATGCCAAAACTTACTTCTGTTCCCTTGCCTTAGGTAATACTGTTATCATGTATTTGTCTTTTGAAGCTATGTTGTCATATTTTACTTTTCCCTTTTATCCTCTGTGTTCAACTGTATCTCTAGTCTCAAGGCTTTTACTTTAAAGCTTTTTCCAATCCAGTCCTCTGGCTCCAGGGCTACATCTTGTCCTTCTTCATCTGTTTGTCCTAATTGCTTCTTAGTGGGACTGCTGGCTTCTACAGTTTCCTCCACCCAACCCATACTTTGCTGCTAGGTTGACCTTTCTAAAATGCCAGTACATTTGGGCATGGTTGCATATGCCTGTATCTCAGCTACTCAGGTGGATAAGGCAGGAGGGTGCAAACTGGAGGCCAGCCTGACTCAAAATTTGAAAAAGGACTGCAGAGGTAGCTTAGTGCTCCTTGAGTTCAAGGGTTTAATCCCTAGTACCAGAAAACCAAAAAAAGGCCGGTCTGATTGTAATCACTCCCTTTTAGTGTCTCCCCACAGCTCAAGACTAATACATTCAGGCCTTAGCCTGTTAGCCAGAGTTCTTTGTGGTCTGGCTCCTGCCTCCTTTATTGCCCCAGGACTTCCTGGTGTCTTCCTTATGCTCCAGCCTTACTAGTTTACTTACGGTTTTCTAAATACATTATCCCATTTTATGCTTTTTGTTCATGTTCTTTTCTTTTTCTGGAGTGCCCTTTGCAACTTCTTGCTCACGGGTGTGTGTGTTGGGGGTGCTGGGTGGCTGGGGATCAAACCAGGCCCTGCACATGCTAGACAAGCACACTAGCCCTGTTACATTCCCAGCTCAATCTTAGGATCTTTAAAGGTGCATTCTAAGGGTTTTCTGCCTGTGGGGCCTTTTTTAGCTTTTCCAGTTGGAATTAATCTCTCCAGCTTCAATCTTTCCATGGAGTGTACAGATGTGCTTTTAGTGTATTGTTATTATTTGTAATTGTGCCTACCATCCACATGGGTTTATAAACTTAGAGATCAGAGACCACATTTAGATGTTTTTATATTCTCAAAATCTAGCAGCATATAGAAGATGCTTAGTTACTATTTATTGAATTAATCAGTTATATGATTTAATGCAAAAAAATGAGTATTTTATTTATTCAACAACCAGTAAGTGCCAGGCACTGCGATAAGTGCTAGGGCAAAGGAAAATCATAGCGTGTATGTTACGGGAATGGGCATTCTTTGGAAGAAAAACTGAAACCGACCGCATGTGACTGCCGTGCAAAGGGGAGGTTTGTTTGTCCTTCCCCCCGGTCTGTCCCTCATTCTCTTCCTTTTTGTAAACCTCCTCCCAGAAGTGCTGTCCTCTGCCTGCCAACTTGGTAGGAGACCCAAATCTAAAAGAGGGAAATATATGTAGATGGGATTGCAGGAGAGATTTTAATAAAAGCTTAATTATTGTCTTTTGGTCCTTATAAAGTTTCTGTTTGCTTTTTTCTCTTAATTATAACTACTCATTAATTAATTATACTTTTACTATACGCTTTTAAAGGACAGAGACAAATTAGGAACCTATGTTAAATTAGGAACACTACAGGGCCAAAACATACAGATCCTGTGCAGCTAAGAGTTAAGGTAGATCTTGTGTTTTTGTTTTTGTTTTTTTTTTTTTTTTTGGTTTTTTTTGGTTTTTCTCCGGTACCGGGAACCGAACTCACGATCTTGCGCTTGCCAGGCAGGCGCTTTTTGCCACTGAGCTAAATCCCCAGCCCCAGATCTTGTGTTTTTTAGACTAGAATGACAGGCACCTTGGGATCTGAATTTCTGAAGTTCCTTTGCCCCCGTGGTTTGTGTTCCTGTTGCTTTTTTGCGTGGATCACATGAGTATCCTCTACCACCGACCTCCACAATCTAAATGCAGGTGGAAACACAGGTCCTGCTGTGTGTCTGCTGTGCCCTAGCTGACATCTTGCCAGCTTGTCTTTTGATCTTCAGCAACACTACCGGTCAGATCAGTTGCTGTTCCCTGGTAGAAATACCTGGAGTGAGTGAGAAGTCATGGTCCTTCTGATAATGTCCATGCCCAAAGCACCTCCTGCCTGTGTGGTCCTAGTGGCGACTTCTGTGGATTATGCCATCTGGACCTGGTGTTTGCAGCTGTAACCTCAGGCGGCTCCATTCTCCCGAGACATTTTTGAATAATTGGAAATGAGTGGTATGATGGAAATCCAATGTTCTAACCATAGAGACTCTCTGATTGCAGAATTGCCTCACTCACAGAGCTCTCCGACTGTCAGCAGCGCCTGCACTAAAGTGCTCTATTTCACTGACCGGTCACTTACGCCCTTCATGGTCAATATACCAAAGAGGTGAGATGCTTGGATCATTATTTCTTTGTAGTAAGGAAAGGAAGGCATAACATTAGTTCCTGCCCAAGTGAGGAGCTGAAAAATATTTGAAAAGCAGTATGTATATTGAGAAAAGCCCAGGAGGTAGAGATTCTAGCTTTAGCTTTGCCACTAACCAGTGACATTCTTAATGATCTGAGGACAGACACAGCTAAGTATGGAAGCAGCAATAGTACTTCCAATCCTGACAACTGTGCCAATATGCTCCGAGTTTGGAAAAACAGTTTGTAAGTGTTCAAAATTGCTTCTGCTGATGGCCATGAATTGCAGTTTGAATTCCCAGGCTTTTTACTCATTGACTGTTACTATTTGATGACTGCAAATGATCCCTACCGGGAATTTATGTTTGAAAACTTTTCTCCAAGCTGTTAATGTAATTTCTTCTAAGGGAAATGGTTTCGCTGGGTGTGCTGGTGCATGCCTATAATCCCAGCACTCCGGTGGCTGAGACAGGAGGATCACAGCAAATTTGAGGCCAGCCTGGGCTACACAGTGAGTTTGAGACCCTGTCTTGGGAAAAAAAAAAAAAAAAAAATTTAAAAATTCTGAGATCACCCAATATGTAATGCCATTTTCCTTTCCTAGTGGTGACTGGTTTTCCAAACTTTGCAGTTTTAGTTTTATCTTCATTATCAGGATCAGTGACCTAGTAAGTCATGCTGTTTCTGCCTGTTGATTTTGGCAGGGGCCTGGGTTTAAAGCTAACACCCTGTCTTTCCAACCTATTGATCAACAATCTATTTTGGTACTCTCTCTTTTTGTGGCAGGTTGGGGGAGGTGACATTGAAGGATTTTAAAGCAGCTATTGATCGGGAAGGAAATCATCGGTATCACTTCAAAGCGCTGGATCCTGAGTTTGGCACTGTCAAAGAGGAGGTACAGGACTGTCACTGTCAAAGGGGAGTCTGGGTGGTGTTGCTGTTCACTCCTAACCCCCCAGAGTCTCCTATTCAAGGGCTAGTACCCACAAGTAATTGAGTTCCCTAATCAGGGCAGAGAAGTCTGCTGGAGCTTTTACTATGGTCTAATTAGACTAAGAAGGCATAAAGTGGCCCAAGATACTGATAGCTTCTTGAATTCTAGGACTTAATTATTTTGACTGCAAATTTGGATACAATTTTTATTTTAACCAGAAAATAGTTTTATTTTGTTAGGGAAAATAAAAAACCTAAGACAATAGAGATACTTAAAATCAGTAGCCAAGTCCTAGAAAACTACTTTCTACATAGTGTGAAACAATCAAACAGGCATAAACATCTGGAACTGTATGTTATGTGCTATGGTGGTAGTTTCTCACAGTGAAAACAGTGGGTAGTCATCTATGCTTATTTCTAACTCCTGGTGTATTTTCTTGGCCTATGCTTCTCTTGTAATCCATTTGCCAACTGACAGATTTCTAAAACATTTTGGAAGAGAGTTCTGGGTTCTGATGTATTATTGTGTGTGCCTTCATTACGGCTATAGAGTGAGAAAACGAAAAACTAATGTTTTAATAACCCTGTTGTATTAATGGTGCAGGAAATGAATAAATGAATGAAAAGAACTGCATTTGGTCTTCTTCCCAACCCTTTCTTTACAGTATCAGGAACCAAAAATTTTCCCTTTTATTTTTTATGTATTATTATTATTATTATTATTATTATTATTACTCAGTACTAGCGATTGAACCCAGGGCCTTTGCACTGAGATACATCCCCAACCCATTTTATTAGTTTTTATTTCTTTTAAATTTTTTAAAGAGAAAAAAATAAAATGGAGTTTCAAAACAGGTTAGTAGGAGAGTTACAATAATTAATATATTGTGTATTGTTGTCTTCATACTAGTTATTCAGAGTACAAGGTATAGGCGTGATATCCAAACAATAGTAGCACAAACCTTTCTTTTTAAGGAACTAAGAGAAGGTAGCTGTATAAGTATCTTAACTATCTTGTGTATACATATACATACATTTTTTCCCTTTCTTCTTTTCCCTTTCCCCCATCACAGTTTGTCTTTTCTTTTGAACAGTTTCTCCCCAACTCACAATATCTATTATGCATTTGGGATCTTATTTACTCGTTCAGTTTCTCACATTAGTGAGACAATACAATGTTTACACATATGGGTCTGATTTATTTCACTTTTTTTGGTCTTTTTTTGAGTCAGGGTCTCGCTATGCAGTTCAGCCTGGCCTTGAACTCACTTTGTAGCCCAGGCTGGCCTCAAACTCTCAAGGATCCTCCTGCCTCAGCCTCCTGAGTGCTGGGATTACAGTGGTGTTTGGGATTTTAAAAACAACTATTCCATAAATGTTGAGCTGACAAACACATAAAGTACTACTTGGAACCTTAGGGGCAAAACTGAAGGGACACAGATGTAGCTCAAGGCTTTCTTCAACACTTTCTTGTCCTTAATGTTTGAGGCCTTATTTTTATTAGCAGCAGTTGTTTAGAGAAATACTCTGTCTTTATTACTATTTTTTCATGGTGCCTTTTTTTCTTTGTTTTACCCAGGTTTTCCATGATGAGGACGCCATCCCTGGATGGGAAGGAAAAATTGTAGCCTGGGTGGAAGAAGACCATGGAGAGAACTGACCCTGAGGACTGCAGTCTGGTTACTTGCTGGCTGCCTCACTCAGGACAGGGGACTAAACCCGGAGTACACTTCAGAAGTTTCTCGTTTGTGCTGCCAATAGCAAAGCTTCTCCAAGTGTGAAGGTCACAGGCCAGTCCTGTTTCTGTGCCCGGCGTATCTGGTACTTCAAACCCCTATCCTAATGCGGACCACGGTTCATCTGGAATTCCTTGTCCGTGGGAACGGCGTTTCGTCCCACTCTGAGGACAGCAAACCGAAGGCCTTAACCAATGGGGATGGATGATCCCGCTCCTGTCGGGGCACGGCTGCTATTACCTGGAACCTGGGATTGGATGCATTACTCCTGTGTGTTACAGTATTAATTTAATTGGCCTCAAGGGTTGCACTGGTCAGAGTCCCAGCATTTGTACTCACAGACAAGGCAAAGGTACCAGCTTTTCTGCTTCTTCGCAGATACTGCAAACTACAAACAACTCATGAGGTGGTACCAAAGATGAAAGCTACTCTTCAATAACCTTTTGAACTGGACATGGATGGTGCTGAATAGTTCATTGGATGGAAAAAGGGCTGCCCATATTGTGCTGTACTGTGCTAAAACCGTAAGACTTGGGCCACTTCTGGTCTTAACTGATTCTGCAGCTTGTCCTTTAGCCCACATAAGGCATATTTCATGTTCTACTAGTTTTCTCTGGGACTCTTTAATATTAGAGCCATTTATTTTTCTTCGAACTGATGACCTTTGTGTTTGAGAGGAATTAGGAGTGAAATGCTCCTTAAAAATCAAGGCGGGTATGGAAAGGTGCTGCTACCCATATCTTCTTGACTTTGTCTCATGACTTTCTTTAACTCATGGTATCTCCTTTGCGGTTAAAAGGAGGCAGACCATTGATTTCAGTGTTTCTTTGTGATTTACGAGTACTGAGCATGAGTTACTAGTCTGTCCTCATTTTAAGATTAGAGTTTCTTTCTATTACATGTTTAGACGAGGCTGATGTTTTAGGGCGCAAGAGAAACCATGGGGCATGGAGCATGTGTTGTGAATGGCAGGGTTGATTCAGGGTAAAGAAATCTAGAGTTATTTCTCATGTACGACACCGTCCGTGTAGAAGCTAAAAGTGTTCAACTTCCAGGGATTCCTTAATAACCTGGGTTTTCTCCTTCATCCACCCAGCACTACCAGCTGATCAGCCATTTTATGTATGCACGTTCCCAAAAGCAGTCTGTGACCATCAACGTACACTGCCAAACAGAAGAGGGGACAGATCAGTCTCGGGTTCTTGACCCGTCTGTCTTCAGTTCATCTCCCCTCTTCGGACACTGGAACAGACTACTCTTTGGAACTGAGATAACATCTTATTGTTTTATACGGACATGTCTTTTAAGAACAGTTCATGTTTGGAGCATTCCTTTGTACTCATTTTCTTTTCATCTGAGAACCATGTCTATTTTTATAACTCAAGCGTGAGTCCTATATACTCTCACATTCTCTATACTGTGTCCATTTTCTAGGGAACCCATGAGCTTTTATACAGTCTCTTACCACCTCTTGTGGTTTCAGAACAAGCTTTATTTTATTACAAGTATACTAATGACAACTAATTTCTGTCCAGTTCTACCTGCTATTTTAGTTGAGGGGGTAGTTTTATGTAATCCAGTTGATAGCTCTTCAAGTGGACAGGAGTTCAAGAGACACCTAATTTTTTCATGTACGTTTTACTGGTCTTCTACTGAAGAATGATTTTTCATCAGAAATAGCTGGGAAAATTTGGGAAAGTCAGCCATAAGCAAGAATAATACATTAGAAAAGCAAACAGAAGAAAAAAATGAATTTTTTTCCCCCAAGAAGTCCAGAGAGAAATTCTTTAAGTCGCCAATTTCTGTGTTGCATGAATTTTAGTGTTTTGCTATACAAGAGCATGAGGGTTATCAGGCTAAAATTGGTTATTGTAGTCCCGTAAAATTTTTCTTGAATGTCTGTCTCTTAACTCGGTTACTTGTCAGTTTTCTTCCAGTGAACAATCTTACCATGATGTAAAATTTATCTTTGCAGAGACTATTAAACCAGAAAAATTTCAGCGTCCTCTTCCTTGTGTTTTATCTCACTCTCTTTTGGAAAAGGAGCTACCATCGTGCCTCCATACGAAGCGGAAGTTGAATTCTGAGAAAAATAATTTTCCCCCTGTAGCTCATTAATCTCATGTACCATGGGTACTGGCTAATCACCCTTACTAGATAATGTCACTTAAGTAACTCTTGTGTAAATTGTGTTGGTGAGTCTCACTCCAGTTTCTACTCAGCAGGAGTAGGCGTTGATTCATTCCCTTGTGAAGTCTCCTACTTGGCTGCACTCCGACAGACCTTGACATTTATTCATAGTATTATCCCCTAGAGGCACTCAGAGACAGTTCATCCTGCTCCTTCTAAAGTACTTTTCCCCTTTAGAAATCTAAAGTACTGGAATACTTCAAGTTCATAAAATAATCTCTAAATCATGTTAGGTTAAAAGCAACCTGCTGGGCGAGGTGGCACATTGCCTGTAATCCCAGCACTCGGGAGGCTGAGGCAGGAGGATCATTTTGAGTTTGAGACCCCCCTGGGCTACAAAGTGAGCTCAAGGCCAGCCTGAACTGCATAGCGAGACCCTGTCTCAAAAAGTGAAAAAAAAAAAAAAAAGCAAATGACTTTCTCATTAACACTAGTTTTAGTTGAGAGCTTAATTCCTTAACTTTAAATTGAAAGACTCTTCTCATTTACAGACTCTTCTCCTCTTGCTCAATTTTCTTTTTCCATTTTTTTTGTACCGGCAATGGAACTCAGGACCTCGTGCTTACCAGGCAGGCGCTGTGCCATTGAGCTGTAGCCCCAGCCCTCTTGCTCAATTCTCTAAATTATCTGGGATTAGGATACTTTTCAATTTGTCTTTAAAGATTTGGGTTAAATACACTTGGTAATACCCACCCTACTTACCATTTTTCATCTTTTTTTGACCTGGGGTAAACTAGGGGAAAATGTCTTTTATATTCTACATCTAATCTAAGAGGACTCTAATTACTTAAAAGCATTTAGGTCATAATTAAAATTATTTTCATTTTTCCCTAAAATAAATATTGATTGCACAGTTCTGTTAACTGAATTTATGTAAGAGGTATAGCTTGCTTAAAATACATATATATGTAAAGTTATATTTTCTTAGAAACATGGATGTTTGCAATCATTGCTTTCAAAGAAATTATTGTGTATTCTCCGTTTTACAGTATGTTTTCATGATGACTGTTTACCAGAGGCTTTTGATTATCAAAGTGATAACCAGTTTTAACTGCTTGTATGTACCAGATTTGTGAATTAAAAAAAAAAATTATGAATAAAAGGGAGTTTGCAAACTAAATCCTGTTAATCATTTTGTGTTTATTGACTGAAATGAACCAGTAGTCATTTACACTTACTGAAGGTAAAGTTCCTCAAGTGATCTCCTTGGTAGCATGTTTGCTTATTGTCTAGAGAGTGTAGATATGGGTTCCTTTATTGCTACAGATATTTTACTATTGGTATTTCTAGTGTAAACACAAGACATTATTAGCAGAGGATTAACAAATGTTGCACTTCTTTTGAAATTATTTATAAATGTGCAAAGAAGAACCTGAGAGTGTAAACTGTAAGACAAGCCTCTAATTTGTAAAGGCAAACATTAAGAGACTCTTGCAGAAATGCGCGCATGTGTCTTGATATGAATTGAACCCAAGGCTTGAGATTAGATCGCACTACATTGCTCAATCTGGTCTCTGAATGCAAGGCCTCAAAGGATCCTTGTGCCTCAGCCTCCCAGGTAGCTGAGACGACAGGCATGGGCCATCACTCCAGGCCAGAAATGTGTATTTGAAAGAATCAGAATTCCCAAAATCAGTTTGAAAGTTACCTCTCCAAAACTCAGCTAGGCTTCATTTATCACTTCAATTTAAATGATATATCTATATCCAGATGTATCTCCAAATCTTTAGCCCTAAGTACATTCACTTGGCTTCTGATCACATATTATCAACTATTAACTAGGCTATTCCATTATTGTTAAATATGTATAAAATTCAACTAAAAATCTTTCAGTACCAGCTAACTCCTCTTTGCATCTACCTACCTTGTATCAGTGATACTGTCCTTCTCTCTTAAACTTTCAGGTCTTAAGTTCTGCTTTTCCTTTACTTCCTTTACCCAATCTATTTCGGAGACTTCATAGCTTGTTCGCTCAGAATCGATTTCACAGACCTAAGAATTCTAGCCTACCTCTAGGGTCAGCTTGCCACCTCTGGACTACTTAGGCTGTGCCTTCTAATTTAGCTGCACCATTTGAAAAATCCCAAACAAGGTGTAAGCAGGCCTACCCAGGTGAGCAGCAACACTACAGATCACCTCGTAATTTCTAACACAGGCTAATTTAGAGGCTAGTGTTGAACTCAAATGGAGTTGAAGTACTGTGCTGATATTTTAGTTAATTCAAAATAGTTAAAACACTTCATAATCACTTAAGAAAGTTACAGTGTAACATTTTTCACTATCCACAATTATTTCATTGCTTCTCTCAACTGTTACTCATATGTAAAGGTCCACATTATTGCTACTCTTCAAATATACTTTTTTCATTTACTCAAGAAATTCTGTATTTCTCAATTATGCTGTCTATTTTTGGGGGACAGTGGTGCCTGCTTGAATATTTCCAATTTTGTTAGATATGAACTAGTATCTCTTGGCCACTTTAACTTTCCAAGTTAATTATTAGCAAGGTTGAATGTTTTCAAACGTTAGGGTCTCCCTGGTTCTAACTTTTTCTTCCGATTTTGGTGCTTCCTGATCATCTGTACACTTGGGGCCTGACCACATAAAAGCAGCATACGCTTCCTCCTAATCCAATGCCCCCTTCAGCTCAGAAATAATATTTTTTGTCGGGCGTGGTGGCACACGCCTGTAATCCCAGCACTCGGGAGGCTGAGGCAGGAGGATCGTTTCAAATTCGAGACCAGCCTGGGCTACAAAGTGAGGTCAAGGCCAGCCTGAACTGAATAGCGAGACCCTGTGCCAAAAAGACAAAAAAAAAAAAAAAAGAAAGAAATAATAGTTTCTAATTATAACTGTACAGAAGACCAGACATATTGTGTCTGTAAATTTTTGTTGATTAATTGAAAAGACATGTACTCAGTTCCCCCTTACTCTAAACTCCAGAGACATTGATTCTTGCCTCCACTGGCTTATAGTTTACTTTTGGTAGTGAAATATAATCATGAACAAGCAGGGCGTGGTGGTGCACATCGTAATCCCAGCACTCTGGAGGCTGAGGCAGGAGGATGGCTACGAGTTCCAGGCCAATCGAGGATACTCAATGAGTTCAAAACCAGCCCGGACTACATGGGAAGAGCCCCCGTCTCACCTCAAAAAGACAAAAAACCATATGGTCATGACCCGCGTAATGGTTTCATAATAACCTACCAAATACAAGATGGTGTTTCCGTAAGATTATACGATCTAGTGACACCTGACATCTAACCACCTTAGCTTGTGTAAGTGCACTCGGGATGGTCACACAAGTAGCGTGACAGTAGAGTATAATCCTTTAAAAACTGGCTATTTAACGGGATTCTAGGGGAGCCAGGGGGTGACAAATCCCTTTTGCAAACTTGTATCTGATCCCGCTGCGGGACACGCGAACGTGGGGCCGCGCCTTCCTCTGGCTGCCCTTCGCACGGCCCTGGGAACCCGTTCCTCCGGCCCCCCGGGGCTGCACACCTGAAAAGCCTCTTTGTAGCCGGGCAGCCCAAGCCGCCGCGGCCAGGCGCACTCCCGAACCCGGCCGCCCGCGGGGCTCCGCGCTCCCGCTTCCCGGGGCGCCGCTGCACAGCCCCGCCCTAGGCCGCAGGCGCCCACTGCTCGGCCCTTCGGTCTCCCGGCTCTTTTCCCAGCTCTTTCTGAAAACAAGGCCGCCTCGGACTAGAGCGCCGCCCGCACCCCGCTGTCTCGGCCACCCGGCCCCGCCCTACCCCGCAGATGTCTATCCAGGGCCGCCCGCACCCCGCTCGGCCTCCCCGTTCCCAACCCGCTCCGCGGACACGCCCCGTCCCTCGGGGCGTCTAGCGGGAGCCAGTCCGCTCCGGGGCCGCCCGCCCGCCCGGCTCCCCGCCCGGCTCCCCGCCCAGCTCCCCGCCCAGCTCCCCGCCCAGGCCGCGCGGGGGTGGCGCGAGCGCGCGGCGCCGGTTTTACGACAGCGTGCGGCTGCGCGGAGTGGCTGACGGCAGAGCCGCGCTGCTCGCGGAGAGGTCACCCTGGAAACGGTGGAGGTTTTGGGGAGTGGGACTCGGTGGCACGATGTGGCGCGTTTGTGCCCGACGGGCCCATCGGGCAGCCCCGGGGGCAGGACTCGGAGCCCCGTGGGCCGCCCTGCGAGAGGGACCCGGAGCCCCGCGTGTGAGCCTGCGGTCCGGCCGCGCGCCGGCTCGTCCCAACAGCACGACGACCCCGGGCTGCGGCGGGGTCCGGGCCCTGGGCGGGTGGAGCCCCAGCTCCGCCGCCGCCGCCCCGCGGAACCGCTTCCTGCTGCAGCTCTTGGGGTCGCCGGGCCGCCGCTCTTACAGTCTCCCTCCGCATCAGAAGGTGAGCCCTCCGCCCCGGACCCCGTTGTCCTTCAGGGCCGACTCCTTGGCCTTGGGAATCCTGCAGAGGTCTCGGGGATCTTGCAGCTCCGTCCAGTGTTAGTCATTCTTCCGTACAGCGCCTGGCTTTGCTGCAGTCCGTGAGCTTCCTTCCCGCGTGTCATCTGTCCCATTGAAAGGAGAGCTCCAAGCTGGGGCTGTGTGCAGGACGTCTGCCGAGTTTCCTGCTGGATCAGGCGCAGAGCAGTGGAGGCGGATGCCAGCCCCTGGGAACCCTGAACTGCTGGGCAGCCGCTCGCTCTGTATCCCCGATGCCTGGTGTGCAAGGCGACTCAGTACATCGCATCGCACTGAACTGAATGAAACTTCAAAGCAGACCGAGTGAGGTAGAACTTTCAAGTAAATTTAGTGCTTTTCTCTTCTGTCTTCCAGGTTCCGTTACCTTCGCTTTCCCCGACAATGCAGGCAGGCACCATAGCCCGATGGGAAAAAAAAGAAGGGGAAAAAATCAATGAGGGTGATCTGATTGCAGAGGTAAGTTTTACCATGGAAGTGAGTTTGAGCGGTGTGATTTTGAGATACATGCTAGTAAACTGCACACTGGCAATGCAAACCTACACTACTGCTTTGTGTTAAAAGGTTGAAACTGACAAAGCCACAGTTGGCTTTGAGAGTCTAGAGGAGTGTTATATGGCAAAGATTCTTGTTGCTGAAGGTACCAGAGATGTTCCAGTGGGAGCTGTCATCTGTATCACAGTTGGAAAGTAAGTAGAAACTTTGTTATCTGTGGAAGTTCAGTGCTTATCAGGGTATTTTAATTATGAATTTTGAGAGCCAGGTGTGGTGGCGCACACCTGTGATCCCAGCATTCGGGAGGCTGAGGCAGGAGGATCGCTGCAAGTTCCAGGCCAACCTGGGCTCCATAGTGAGTTCAAAGGTCAGCCTGAACTACATAGCAAGACCCTGTCTCCAAAAAAAATTGAGAAATTAGAAATGAAGGACTTTTGAAGACATCTGTGGTAGCTGAATTTGCTTTTTAAACTCCCTTATATTTGTGTATATTTTGCATTTTTAGGCCTGAGGATATTGAGGCTTTTAAAAATTACACGTTGGATTCCTCTGCAGCACCCACTCCACAAGCAGCCCCGACACCAACTGCTGCAGCTGCTGCTTCGCCACCTGCACCTTCTGCACAAGCTCCTGGTAGCTCATATCCTAGTCACATGCAGGTGAGGCTTGGTATCTGAGTGTTTGATCTAGTTCAGTGATGGTGAACCCTTTACAGACTGAGTGCAGTGCAAAAGCCACTTACTTACCACAGAGTGCCCGCGCTTCAGTTCAACCTGAATACTGAAGTTTTAGTTTAGAAAAAACAACTAACACATTAGCATCTTTTTTCTTGAGAGCAAAACGTAATAACTAGGCTGGGGAAATAGCTCAGTGGCGTAAGCACCTGCGTTACAAGTGCAAGGTCCTGCGTTCGATTCCGGTACAAAAAAAAAAAAAAAAACCACACATAATAACATGCATGCCATAGGTTCACCACCACTGATTTAGTTGATTAGTTATTTGTATATTTTTCATACCTAGCTTTTGCATCCTGGAAACTGGCTTGACTGTGGCAGGCTCTTACCATTTAGGATGAAAATTGAACGCTTTATTCATAATTGTTATTTCTAGGTACATGAGCTTGGATAATTTCTTTAACCTTGCTCAGCCTCAGTATTGACTAGAGGACAGTGCTTGATGCTTCTTTCTCAAGAATATTTCATTATAGATTTTGAGGATGATTTTTACGTATGACTACTCCCTGTATAGATAGTTTCTAGTAGGTCTCAGGTGCCATCTGTTGCATGAAAGTCTCCAGTTAGTGTTTTTCTTTGCTGTATTGTGGTCTGTCTTCTAAAAGTGGGTAAACTGTTCTAATAGTAGTATTTATAAGTGAGGAAACTGACAATAAAGAGTAAGTGTGGAGTAGACATAGAAAATAGCGTTGTAACAAAGCTGAAGATGAAAATGTAATCTCTGTTGATTGCATTAGCTTAAGTCAGTTTCTAGGAAATCAAGTTAATTTGTTAGATATTAGGGTTATCTATGTGTGTGTGTGTTTTTGATGGAAGTAAATAAAAAATGAGTCTTACTTTTTCTAAAGGAGTAAGACCTGAACTTTCCTTAACGTGGTATATATGTAGGAAAATTTGTGTAGAAATCATTTTCTCTGCAATAACGTTTCTCTCATGGTCTGTTAGTAATGCTTATGTTAGTAATCACAGTGAGATTTTGCTTGGTGTTCATGTCACACAGTTCTTTCATCTTGTTTAGCAAATTATGCCATATTAAGTAAGAACCTCATTTCTCTGTACTTTATGGCTTTGTGTGCAAACGTTAGGGTTGTGCTTAATTATCCTTCAAGTTATTGTATAGATATTACTGGCTCCATTAACTTTTCAGAAGCAGATGAAGATCGCAAATTCTGAGCAAGGAAACCTTTTTTTCTCTTCAGTATTAGGAATTGAGCTCAGGACCTTTGCATTGATCTGCATGCCTGGTTCCCGTTTTATTTTTATTTTGAGACAGGACCTTACTAAGTCACAAAATGCCCAGGTTGGGCTCAAACTTGCGATCGTTGTTCCTCAGTGTCCCAGAGTGCAGGGATTACAGGTGTGCAGCTCCATGCCCAACTGAGAAAGGCACTTTAAAAGAATTTTCTGTCTTGTTTTGCTTTTTCTGCCCTTCTAGAGACATTTTTTACTGAAATTATTTTTCCCTCAGGATGCGACTATTGCTAATTAGATACAAAAGACTGTTAGGCAGCAAGCAGATAAAGACTGTAGGTGAAAATATCCAAATTTAGTGGACATATAAGCTGTATAAATAGGGAAGCAGTTTTAAATTTATATCAACCAATCTGATGTTTCCATGCTGTTGGAGTAGAAATGACTATTACAAAAACAACTGCGGGAGGACTGAGGGTGTGGATCATTGGTAGAGTGCTGCTTCACATGCATGAAACCCTGGGTTCAGTTTCTAGCACTAAAAAAGTTACTTTTTACATTTTCATTTTTCAAATAATTGAGTACATAAAAATTCTATAAACTCATCATTACGGTGTATTGTTTCGAAGTATGCATATGATGTGGGATTGCTAAATTAGCATACCATTTCCTTACTTTTTTGTAGTGAGAACACTTAATCTATTCTCTTAGCAATTTTGAAGAATACAGTATATTGTTACTAACTGTACTCACCAAAGCATACTTCCTAGTGCTAGCTTAGATTTAGGAAGTGTGGGATAAATGTGGTTTCCTACGGATGAAAAGATAAGTAGATGCTAAAACCAGAGTACAGTAAAGTTTTAAGAATGGTCTGGACCAAGATCATTCTGTGCAAATGACACATTTTGATCTTAACCTAAGAGAGAAAAAGATGAAAAGGTGCTCTGTGCATAGGTATATGTTGAGGAAATTAATTCTGACTGAAAGAAGCCTTTCCCCCTATTGCTTTTAACTGTGGAAAGAATGTCAGAATATGTTATAGTTCAGATATAAAGTTCAGGGTCTGAAGGATTTAGTTGATGGGAAGCTGTCGAGGCACTTCGCTTTTTCTCTGATGGGCATTTGAGTTGCCCTAGTCACTGTCACTCCATGAAACTACCAGCTTGCCTGAGTGCTTTTGTGCCTGAGTGCTTTTGCGCTTCCTGATTCTACGCAGTAACGTGCATTTGTTTCCCTAGGTACTGCTTCCTGCCCTCTCTCCTACCATGACCATGGGCACAGTTCAGAGATGGGAAAAAAAAGTGGGGGAGAAGCTAAGTGAAGGAGACTTACTGGCGGAGATAGAGACTGACAAGGCCACGATAGGTGAGACTTCTTCAGCTTTTACCGGTTAGGCACTGAGTATTCCAGTGAGGACGAGGATTGCCATTCTCTGCAATGAGTGAGTGATACTATGACAGTTTTACGGTTCTTAGGATTAATTTCCTGGAGCAAGGTATTTTATGACAAAAATGTGCATGATTGGATTTGTCAGTTCCATACTGTACGTAATGAATCAAGGATGTGTCAACTGAGAGATTATTCTTAGGCCAAAGTTTGCTTTTTAGCTTTGCTTTCGTGTTACTCAAAAGCTGTATCAGAGCAGCGGTTATGTCAACTGGGCGAAGGAAAGGGGGGAAGAGGAGAAAGCCACCACCAAGGCAGGAAAATACCACGGAATTTAAGATCACTTTAAAAAAAAACTGAAACCAAAGTGTAGATTGTGTTCCTGTTTTGAGAATGATGTATAATATGTCCGTTTGGATAAATCACTTTTCCATTTCCCCTTTTTTGGTTTGTTTTTATGCTTAGAAACAAACCCCACGGGGGCAATCAAGTCTCTGTGATAATATTTATAGATATTCATAGATATTATGGATTTCTTGCCTCTGCTCCATGATTTGCTCCTGAAGGAAACCCTGGAAGGCAGAACTTGTTCTCACCAATGGGTTTTTTTTTTCAGTATTGGGAATTGAACCTAGGGCCTTAGCATAAAGCTACATCCCCAGCCCTTTTTTATTTATTTTGAGATAAGGTCTCTGTAAGTCACTAAGTTGTCCAGGCTGGGTTCAAACTTGGGATCCTCCTGCCTCACCCTCAGTGTGTGCTACCTTGCCTAACTTCTGACAGCTTCTTTCAGTTTGTTTTTTTTTTATTATAATTATTTTGTTTTGAGACAGGGCTTCACTGTGTAGTTCAGGCTGATCTTGAACTCATTATGTAGCCCACACTGGCCTCAAGCTTGCAGCGATCCTCCTGCCTCAGCCTCCCATGTGCTGGAATTACAGGTGTGCACTACATGCCCAGTTGCTTTTAGTTTTTCTTTTGCAGCTGTAAGTGTTTGAGTTTTTTGCAAGAAAAGTAGTAGCCAAATGTAAATTTTCAACATCATATAGGTTCCAACAATACTGTATTTCTTCACATTGAAATAATTGGTATAATATCAATTAAAACTTTTTTGAAAAGCTCCAAGGATCCTTTCATGGCTGAAATTGCATATCACTGTCTAGCCTGGTGGTTTTCAATTTGACATCATATGCTTCTGACCTGTAGCAGGACAACTGATGGCGCCTTGAAGTCCTGTGAATGTCATGGGGGTTAGCCTTTTTGAGACATTCTTGCTGTGTAATCCAGCCCAGCCTTGAACTTCTGTGTAGCTCAGGCTGGCCTGGAATTTGCGATCCTCCTGCTTCAGCCTCCTAAGTGTGCCATCCCCCTTGGCAGAGATGTTTTTAATAACTTTCAGAACTAACACATATCTGTAATCTCTCATAGTTATATTTAACAGATACCTATGTCCCAGTATCCATGGGTATTGGCTCCTCCCAAAAATTCAATACTTGTTAGGTACAGATGCAAGTTTTTTCAAATATTTTTAGCCTCCTAGATTTGCAGGGCCAACTATGTTCATTTATGTTACACCAGATACTGTTTCTAAGTAGTTGAAAACTACTAATTCATTTAAATTCGTAACATTCCCCCATACCCTGAGAGAAGTATAGTCTTCCCTGAGTACCTTCAAATGGGATGGAGAATTGGTTCCAGGATCTGCCCTACTGCAGTCTGCAGATACTCAGGTACCTTCTGCAAAGTGGCATAGTATGTGGATATAATTTTATGTGTACCTTCCTGCATGTTTTTGTTTGTGTTTGGTGCTGGGAATTAAACTCAGGCCCCTCTGTGAGCTAAATATTTCTTCTTTGTCTAGGCTATATTCCAACCCCTATCATATACCATATATCTTTTCTAGGTTACTTTTATTTAAATATTTTTTTATTTAAAGATAAAAATAACAAAACTGTCATGAAAACAAAATCAAAACAACACAAAAACAACAAAAGCGATACATGACCTCAAAACAAAATGATAGGAATTAACAATGGTTGCTACATTATATACTGTTATCTTCAATGAAGTTGCTCAGTCCACCAGATGTAAGAATGTAAGATTGATCAAACAATCAAAGACAGTGATGAGTAATTAAAAAAAACATTTGATTTTTTTTTTTTTTTTTTGGTTTTTCTCCGGAACCGGGAACCGAACTCACGACCTTGTGCTTGCCAGGCAGGCACTTTTGCCACTGAGCTAAATCCCCAGCCCAAAAAAAACATTTGAAATGATGCAGTTTCACCATACAAGATGGTAGGAGTTCAACCATGGTTCTTACACGTATGTTGTTGTTTTCAGATCAGTCATTCTGATTACCAGATTCAAGCGTGAAAAATTGTTCAAGAAAAAAAATTTTAAGCATTGACTGTTCCTTTCAATAAACCACAGACATCAGCATCTGTGTTACTTGTAATGCAGCATAAATGCTATATGAATAGTTACACTATATTGTTTAGGGAATGATGACAAGAGAAAAAAGTCTGTAGGTGTTCAGCATAGATGCAACCATCATAGACCTAATTACAAAATACATGTCAGCAACGATGTAATATTTTTGAACTACAGTTGCTTGAATGCCAGGATGTGGAACCTGTGGATAGGGAGGGCTGACTGTACTATAATTATCCCTATTCTTTCCCCTGGTCTGGTACTGGGAATTGAAGCCAAGACCTTGTTAGCACTGTGCTACTTCCCTGGTGTTTTTTTATTTTTAATTTTGAGACAAAGTTTCACTGAGTTTCTGAGTTGCCCGGGCTGGGCTTGAACTTGTCATCTCCCTGCCTTAGCCTCTAGGAGTGCTGGCATTGTAGGTGAGCAGCATCACACCTAGCCACAGAGAGGCTAGGTGGCCTGCAATAAGACTATACAGTCAGTTTGATGAAAGCCTTTTTCTTAAATGTCTGCTGTGGGTTTGTATGGATAATGAGGTCTTTTAAGTTCCATAATGCTTTTTCTTTCTATTTAAGGTTTTGAAGTACAGGAAGAAGGTTATCTGGCAAAAATCCTGATTCCTGAAGGTACAAGAGACGTCCCTCTAGGAACCCCACTTTGTATCATTGTAGAAAAAGAGGCAGATATAGCAGCATTTGCTGATTATAGGCCAACTGAAGTAACTGACTTAAAACCACAAGCACCACCACCTACCCCACCCCTGGTAGGTATGCCTCTGGAATCAAGAAAACATTTATCCTGTTCACTTCTAAATGAAAGGGGTTTGATTAGGTGATATCTTAGGTTCCTTTCAGCTCCGAGATCTGATGAATAAGGAAGAAGAGAGTGCATTGCCATTTGAGGAAGTATGTAGAGTGTGTTGCGTTGCATTGTACCATCCATCTAATGGTCAGTAGTTTGATCCTTGTAGTTATTTTCCCTCTGCTGTGAACAAAGGGAAAGTCCTGCTGAGAACAAAGCCGAAGTAACACGTTCTCTTTCTGCTTTGGGTGTAAATGCCATCCTTATGAAAGGTAGGGTTTTGTTCCCCGTCTTGTCAGCTTCACTGTGTAAACACAATCATGTTCAGTCTTCTTTATACATACACAGTATTTATATATTATAGTAGGGTAAGCATGTATTTATAGTACATTGAAACCTGGACATGACGTGACTTGTTTGCACAGAATTTCTTATACTTTGCACTGTACACCAGACACCTGTACCGTGAGCATGTATTAACCTCAAGCATAGTTAACATATATTTATACTAATAAAATATTTTTTTATTTAAAGAGAATAAAAAACAGTAATGATGCAGAATTTCAAAACAAGATGGTAGGAAATTAACAGCAGTTGTTATAGTGCGTATTATTATCTTCAAAGTAGTTCAGATTACCAGATACAGGCATGCAAAATTGATCAAACAATTAAGCATTAACTGTTCCTTTTAATAAATCAATAGAAATTAGTACTAAAATTATCTTAGCTATCTTGTGCATATATTTTTTTCCCTTCTTTCTTTTCTCCTTTCCCCTGTCCCAGGTGTTCTTTTCTTTTGAGCAGTTTCTTTCCTTTGCCTAATATCTGCTGTACCTTTCAGATTTTATTTACTTTTTCAGTTTCTTACACTAGGGAGACAATACGATGTTTACACATGTAGGTCTGAGTTATTTCACTTGTATGGTCTCTCGTTGTATCAATTACCTATAAAAGTCTCTGGTTTATCCTCCTTTATGGCTGAGTAGTACTCCACATCTTTTTTATCTTTTTCTCAGTTGAGGGGCATTTGGGTTATTTCCAAGATTTAGCTATGACAAATTGTGCTGCTGTAAATGTGGCTGCACATATATTGCTGTAGTGTGATGTTTTCAGTTTTTCTTGAAAAATACCCAGAAAAGGGGGATAGCTGGGTTGAATGGGGCCTCTCATCCTAGTTTTTTGAGGAATCTCCACACTGATTTCCACAGTGGTTGTACCAGTCTACGCCTCCACCAACAGTGGAAAAGGGTTCCTTTTCCCCCACAGCCCCTGCAGCATTTGTTTTGGGTTGATTTCATGATAATAGCTATTCTTTCCCGGGTGAGGTGGAATCTCAGTGTTGCTAACATTTGCACTGAAGCTTTGCAGATACTAGAATCACATGAATGTAGACATTTCTATCAGAGACAGCTTGATTTCTGACTGCCCTACATTCACGGAGAGCTGACAGGCAGCAGTACTGGTTTATTTAAGATACTTCTAACATGGAACAGTATTGCGTAATTCTGTATTTCAGCATTAGGTTAAGTAAACACAAAAACCAAGTTGGCAATAAGTATAATGAGAATAAGAAAGTGGCAAGAGATTAAAGTGTAGAAAAACTATAAGGATCTTATATGCTGGTCAGCAGTGTTAAAATCCCCACCTCTCCTTGTTGTCATAGAGTAAGATGACTCTTCTGTCTTTGATGTATTCTTGCTACACATATAGCTGTATTATGTTCATTATTTTATTTTATTTTTTGTCTTTTTTGAGACAGGGTCTTGCTATGCAGTTCAGGCTAGCCCTGAGCTCACTTTGTAGCCCAGGCTACAACAATCCTCCTGCCTCAGCCTCCCGAGTGCTGAGATCACAGGCATGCACCACCACGTCCGGCTGTTATATTATTTTGATTAAAGAAGAAAAAAAGTGCATTATGCTCTTAGGAAAAGAAAGTGAATATTATTTAATTAAAATAGCTTTTAACTTGATAAAATCTAAACTCAGTCTTTTGGACCAATCTGCACAGTTATGAATTAATACTTTGTAACTTTTTTTAAAAGGCGGCCACTGTTCCTCCAGCTCCCCAGCCTGTAAGCCCTGCACCCCCAGGCACTCCTGCTGCCCCAGCTGCTCCTGCTGGACCTAGGGGAAGGGTGTTCGTTAGCCCTCTTGCAAAGAAGTTGGCTGCAGAGAAAGGGATTGATCTTACACAAGTAAAAGGTAAGTCTCTTTCCGTGGAAGCTGGATGTGATTTCAGTTTCAGTTGCTTGTGTGACAAAAAATAAAGAATTAAGTGAACAGGCTGGGCATAGTAGTGCGTGCCTCTAATCCCTGCACTCCGGGAGGCTGAGGGAGGAGGATCACAAATTCAAGCCCAGCCTGGGCAATTTAGTGATGTAGCAAGACCCCGTCTCAAAAAAAAAGAGCTAGGAATATGGCTCAATGTGAAGCCCTGCATTCCTAGATTTAATCTTTGGTACCACCAAAAAACAAACAAAAAAAAGAAAAAGGAACAAAATGGGAATATAGCATAGTAATGTGAGAACGCTTGGGTTTAAATGTTAGCTCTGTTTTATACTAACTGTGCAACCTTTTAGGTCTCAGTCTCTTCATTTGTGTATAAAAATGATACCTAATAAATTGTGAAGATTCCTGGGCATGGTGGTGTACACCTATAATCCCAGCACTCGGGAGGCTGAGGTAGGAGGATTGTTTATAGAGTTTGAGGCCAGCCTGAACTACAGAGTGAGATCCTATCTTCAAAAAAAAAAAATTGTGAGGATTGAATAAGTAAACAAATAGTACCCATGCAGAGAAAGAATACCTTGGTATTAGCCATCATGGTAATACTTTTTTTATTCTTAAGTAAGACAGTTAAGTGCAGAGAATAATCATAGTGGTAAACAAGTGTGAGTGGCAGGGTAGATGTGTGTGCAGTTGTGACTGCTGTTTTTACTATTAATTTTTAAGTCATGGCGGCTTTTAGTCGGGGAAGACTCCTGATGAGGTGACACGTGGCCTGATGTGACAGGTGAGGAGTCAGTGTGTGTGCCGGGCACGTGCAGAAGTGGGAAAGAGCATGTGGGGCAGGGAGACCAGCAGACGCGGGCGGAGACAGAGGGAGTTCGGCTTGTGTGAGGAGCATAATGGAGCATCTAGCGGTAGGATGTGAAGGTGGAGAGAGATGAGAATATCAAGGATCTGTGAGGAGCTGGTAAAGAATTGATAGTTTATTTAACATCTAATAGGAACCCAGGAAACCACTGAAAGACTTAGACAAGAAGGTGATTTTTTTTTCTTTCTTTGGTGTTACTGGGGATTATACCAGGGCCTTCGTACTGAGCTACATCCCCAGCTTTCTTTATTTTTTATTTTGAGACAGGGTCTCACTAAGTTGTCCAGGCTGACTGAACTTGTGGTCCTCCTGCATCAGTCTTCCAGAGTGCTGGGATTACACGTGTGTACCACTGCAGCCAGCTTGATGATGAACGGTTTTAAAGGCTCATTTTCTGCAAGGAAATAGATGAAATGAAAGCCAGACACCTGTTTAGATGCTGTGGCTGGGACTGATGGTGGTGGTTTAGACAAGGGTGGTGAAAATAGAAATATATAAAAAGAAATGAGTACATTAAGGTATGTTTTTTACCAAAATCAACAGGTTTTTGTCAAAGCTTAAATATGGGGACTTGACAGCAGTAGTTTCAAAAGTGGGATAGAGCCAGGCATGGTGACACATGCCTGTAATCCCAGCATTGCGGGGGCTGAGGCAGGAGGATTACTGAGTTTAAGGCCAGCCTGGGCTATAAATGAATTCAAGGCCAGCCTGAACTACACAGTGAAACCCTGTCTCAAAAACCAAAAAAAAAAAAAAAAAAGTGGGGTGGAATCCAATATGGACAGGTGGAATGTGACTGAAGAAGTGGAGGTAGCATTGAAGAATATTGGCTCTGCAGAAAGGTCTAGAAGTGAAGGCTTAGCTTTAATAGGATGTGGACTCAAGAGACTGCTCTAGGAGGTGAGTGATAGCAGAATGACTGGTACTGAGCCTCTCCGCCGGCACTGTTAACATTTTGGCCAGAAATTCTTTGTTGTGGGAGATGTGTTCTGTACACATCTGTACAGAAGTTAGTGAACTCTGTAAAATGTTACTGAATTTCTTGGCCCCTATGTAGTAGAGGGTGGTAGTAACCCCTGCTCATGGCAGGGAAAGTGTCTTTAGTCCCTGCCAGGTGTCCTTTGTCATGCAAAGAACCCTCCTTGAGAATCAGTGGTGTCATAGCAAATGATCAGTGGATGACACCTGAGGTTTATGTAGCAGGATGATTTGGCAAGGAACAACGTTCTCGAGAATGCAAGAAAGAGTGGGATTGGTGCCTAGTAAGGATTGAGGACATTTTATCTGTCTTTGTCGGAGAAAAGAGAATATAACGTGATGGGTTTGTTGGTTTCATAGTAGAGTATGAGGAGGATTCCTCTCTGTTTGCACCTGTCTGATTAATAAAGTAAGAAGTGAAGGTGTCAGCCGGAGAGTGAGTGTGGGGAGAGTGAGTGTGGGGAGTGTTGAGGTTAGATTGTAACGCAGTGTTCTCAGAGTTTGGGAAGGTGAATTTAAAGGGCTAAGTGATTGTAGTTCATCGGTCTTACTTGTGTTGTTATCTGCCTTGTTTGTGTTTAGCAAGAACCCTATAACTGTATTGCTCATTCAGGGTTCTTCCCTTTACCCCGCATTGCTTCCTGATTTCCTCTTGTGCCTTCTTAGGGAGACAGATTAAAACTGGGTTTCACCTAACTCCTTTTGGTCAGGAAATTCTTGTGAATAAGGTGGGTGGTGCTACAGGTTTCCTCCCTTAAGGGGCTGCACGATGTGGTGTCTGGCTCAGCCTTGGTTATAAGGGGAAGTCGTTTTCCCTCTCCTATAAAGGAGAGAAATCTAGTGGGGGCGCCGCCAACTCCCTGTTTATGCTGAAGGAAAAGGATTGGGAAGAGCTGCACACAAGAATTGTTTTCAAATCTGCCATGGGGCCAGGCGCAGTGGTGCATGCCTGTAATCCCAGCACTCGGGAGGCTGAGGCAGGAGGATCGCTGTGAATTCGAGACCAGTCTGGGCTACAAAGTGAACTCACAGCCAGCCTGAATTGCACAGCGAGACCTTGTCTCAAAAAGGCAAAACAAAACAAAACAAGAAGAAATAATAATAATAAATAAAATCCTCCATGGGGGGAAGATGAATCAGTTTGATCAAATTTTTTCTAGAATAAGCCAGTGTAAGAGGTGTTATAATAAAGAAATTCTAAAATTGGTTAGAATTCAAGGTCAGGATTACCTCCTTGGGTCTAAGACTAATCCTAAGAAATTATAGATGGGAGGAGGGAGGGAAATAGAAGAAAAATAAAATTAAACGTTGAGAAAACTTTGAAGGTCCCTTCTCATATGTGGCATGGTACCTGCTTCCTTCATTGCCTCTAACATAGGTCTGCTTAGCTCTATTGTGAGAGAGCTGTGACAGATAGAGATTCCATAGGAAGTGAAGTGGGTGTGGTGGCACATGCCTGGCATCCCAGCACTGTGGGAGACTCAGGCAGGTTTGAGCCCAGCCTGGGCACTATGGTGAGACCTTGTCTCAGAAAAGAGCTGGGGATACAGCTGAGTGTGAAGGGCTGAGTTCAGTGTCCCATACAGAAGAACATGGGGAGTGAAAGATTCTAGAGATGAGATAATTGTCATTAAATTTATGCTGTTTGGAGGTGATACAATTGACTTGCCCAATTTGTGATCATGTCTGGTAGCCATGTATAGGGAACAAGTGAGACTCTTAATTTAAGGTTCAGAAAAGTGGATTTTTTTAAGCTACCCAGAAAGGGACAGCTAGTTTTCCTTCTAGATGTATAGATTCTCCTTAACATTATCCTATGTCAGTACTTCCCAAGTTAAAAGTAAGAAATTTTTAAAAACATATAATCTAAGTAAAAGAGAAACATATAAAAGAATATTTACAGTAGTTAAAAGAACCACTGTTGAATAAGCAAGGGTAGTCTGTGAATTAAAATAAGTAAGTAACAAAGGCTGGTATTCCGAGGGAGAACCTCAGGGGCGGGCTAAAGCGGTGGTCTTTGCAGCGTGCTTTCGGTAACAAACCTTTGAGAACTTTCACTTGATCACAGTGCTGACCTCCTCCAGCGGCCTGCTGTCACATATGTGATACTCCTGCGTTTCTTCCAGGGACGGGACCAGATGGCAGAATCATCAAAAAGGACATTGACTCTTTCGTGCCTACTAAAGCTGCTGCTGTGAGTTCTGTTTGGCTCTTATTTTTTGCAGTTATTCCTGCAGAGTGCTTTGCAGTCCATGTTAGACCATGTCATACATTATTTAAGAGTGAAGTAGTTCAGCCAGAACAGTTTTTCGTAATTTTAGTGGTCTGACAATACTTAGATACTTGCTTGCTTTCATAGACAGTATATTCAAAATCAGAGGTGATATACCGTAGGGATATGTATGAAAACTGTTTTGAGTAGTGATAGTTTTTTCTGAAACATTTTCTCCTTATCATTCAGCCTTTCTTTTTTTTGTCTTTTTGAGACAGGCTCTCGCTATGCAGTTCAGGCTGGCCTTGAGCTCACTTTGTAGCCCATGCTGGTCTTGAACTCACAAGAATCCTCCTGCCTCAGCCTCCTGAGTGCTGGGATTACAGGCGTGTACCACCACAACTGGCTATTCAGCCTGTTTTTGAAAGCATGTTTACAGGTTGGTTGTCTAGGGTCTATGTGGTTAATTAGTCTACTCAAGGACTAAATTCGTATGTTCAGGTTTCATTTGGTTGGTTAAGGTGCTAAGATACTAGGCAAAAAGTAAAGAAAATGATTTAGTTACCCAGATGTTTAAAATGAAAGATTTTGCATTATTTTTCCTTCTTAACATTGTCAAGGGTAGTGGATTGGTTTGTTTATCTCAGTTCTTTCAATTTAAGAATGTTTTGATTGCCTTTGGTAAAGATAATTTTCCAAAAAAATTTTCTTTTTATATAAACTGGTCATTGCAAAGAAAGATGACACCCAAAACGTCACTTCAGCCAGACATGGTGGCGCACACCTGTAATCCCAGCACTCGGGAGGCTGAGGCAGGAGGATCAGCATGACTTTGAGGCCAGCCTGGTCTACACAGTGAATTCAAGGGTGGTCTGACTCACATAGTAAGACCTTGTCTCAAAAAAAAGTATGCCAGATGTGGTACATGCCTGTCATCCCAACACTTGGGAAGCTGAGTGAAGGAGGACTGCTGTGAGTTCTAGGCCAGCCCAAACTATGTAGCAAAACTCTGTCTCAGCGCTCCCCCTGCTCACAGCAAAAAAAGAGACAACAAAACAGAAACCAAAAAACAAGACTTCAGAATAAGTTGTCATCCAGTCCCTTCTACTCACTGGGCCTAGAACTCGCCATTCTTGTACAAATGTTTATTTTTTACCTCGCCATCTATAAAAGGTCGCCGGCAGTCCCTCCTAGCTGTGTATGCTAAGGTCAGGCCAGAGTTACTAAGAGCGTTCCCTTCCCCCTAGGCCCCGGCAGCAGCTGTGCCTCCCCCGAGTCCAGGAGCGGCGCCAGTCCCTGCAGGCGTCTTCACGGACATCCCAATCAGCAACATCCGTCGGGTAAGTGCATCGCCACAGCCTGGAACCAGAGCGTTGGGACTGTCCTTCCTCTGGCTGCTTAATTCTATTAATAGTGTAAAACCCAAGCGGAAACCCTTTCGGTGGGCATGTCAGATGACTAGCTTAAGGGAAGTTTGATTCGGTCGGGTGAATTAGGATGCAAACCACTGTTCTGGTTGAATCTTTTACAAGGTGCAGAGTTAGGGTGCAATTCTTCATCATCCAATCCTGACAATGCTGGAGGTAAGTAAGTATTACTGGGGAGCAGAGTGAAGAGGTAAACAGACCTGAATTGGGTAAAGTCCTCTTAATTTAAGAGAATTGACTTTAGAATATCTCTGCTTTCAGGTTATTGCACAGCGGTTAATGCAATCAAAGCAGACGATACCTCATTATTACCTTTCCATTGATGTGAATATGGGAGAGGTTTTGTTGGTGCGGAAAGAACTTAATAAGGTAATACTTCTGGAAACTGCAGCTCTGCAACTTACAAAAATTCTGTCTTTCCTCATTAAATATTTGCTTTTTGTTTAGTTTTGGGGATTGAATGTAGGGCTTTCACACTGAGCTGAATTTCCAGCCTTTTAAAAATTTTTATTTTGAGACAGGGTCTCTTTCAATCACTAACTTGCCTGGCCTGGCCTTGAACTTGTAATCTTCCTGCCTCAGCCTCCCAGAGTGCTGGGATTCCAGGCATGTGCTACCACGCCCAGGTCAACATTTATATTTTCGCCTGTGTATTTTGTAATAGTATGCCAGTTAGTGATAGAAAATGAATGCCATCTTCTTTTTGAGACAGGGTCTTGCTATATAATACAGGCTGGCTTTGAACTCACTGTGTAGCCCAGGTAGGCCGTGAACCTGAAGTGATCCTCCTCCCTCAGCCTCCTTAGTGATTTTAGGCCTGCGCCACCATGCCAGGCTGTCATCTTAATTTTAACTTGCGGAGAATGTCCTAGAGATTTTTCATCTTCCAACTCTGACTAAAACCACTTAAAGTTGACTTTGCTACAAATAGATTTTAGTCTAGCAAAGTCACTGTGATGAGACACTTGAGCATCTCGACGGGTAAGAAACATTCCCTTGACTCTGTTTAAAGCATGACATTCCTACTTGGCAGACGGCACTTCTGGGAGCATAGAGAGTTTAGGGCCTCTCTCTGTTCACTGTGAGTTTATGATCTCGTTGAGGTAAACCACATGAAAAAGAAGGAATGCAATTACTATTAAAGGAACAATATTTGGGAATCAGTGAAGTGTTACAGAAGTTCAGAGAAGAGGGAGAGTGGTGAGAGTATTAGGAAACTCATAATGGTACAGGACACCCTGGGGAGGACCATGAAAAATGGAAAGTGTTCGCGTTGGCAGAGAGGTTGAAGAAACTTCATTCTAACAGGGATCATCAGGGTAAAGTGCTTTTAAAAATGAAGAGCTGGGTGCACATGACTGAGTCCCAGACGCTTGGCGCCTGAGGAGGAGAATTGGGGGTTCAAGGCCAGTTTGGGCAATTTAAAGAGGCTTTGGCCCAAAATAGAAATAAAAAGCCGGGAGGTAGCTCACAGTGCTTGCCTAGTATGTGTAGGCCTCTGGGTTCAGTCCCCAGCAACAGTAAAAAAAAAAGGAAACGAAATACAGCTTATGTCAGATGAGCGATTACCCCTTCCTAGAGCAGACACACAGAAAGTCACTGTAAGAAGACCTTAATTTACAAAGGGGAATTAGGATTTGATGAATTGGACACTAAGCAACTGTTATGTTTTTGAGCAATGAAGTAACATGAAACAGCAGTATTGTAAGAAGGGCTAGCCGGGCCTGGTGATGCACACCTGTTACCCCACATTCAGGAGGCTGAGGCCGGAGGATCACTATGAGTTTGAGGTCAGTCTGGGCTGCACAGTGAGTTCAAGGCCAGGCTGAACTACATAGTGAGACCCTGTCTCAAAAAATAAAACAACAAAAAGGAGTGGGTGGCACACAGTGCCTTTCACAGGGGAGTCATAACCTCTCCGACCTCTTCTCCTGCATTTTCCCCTTTGCTCTGTCCACTGGTATTGGTATCTGCCCTGGTATTGCTGGACTCCTGCATAGGCTCTTTTTTTTAAAAAATGATTTATTGGTAGATTTTAGACAAACATAGTGGTCACATTTATCATAGAGAATTTGTAGCTGTACATGATACAACTTTTTCCCCATTCCCCTATCCTCCTTTCAGCCCCTCCTTCCCTCCCCATTTATAAAAGCTGTTTCCATGTTTTCCTTTTTTCATTTTTTTTACTTTTCCCTTCTTTCCTTTCCCGCTCCCCTTTTCCTTCTTCCCCTCTCTATTTGAGCATTTTCCTCCTATTTCACAGTACCTGTTACATATTTTGGTTCTTATTTACACTTCTGGTTTCTCACACCAGAGAGACAGTGCTGTATTCGCACATGTGTGTACAATTTATTTCACTGGAGTAGGGACTCGAGGTGCATCCATTTTTCTAGAAATGTCTCGAGCATATCCTTCTTTATGGTAGAGTAGTACTCCATTGTATAAAAAGCCACATCTTCTTTATCCATTCACCAGTTGATGGGCATTTGGGTTGTTTCCAAGACTTGGTTATTACAAACTGTGCTGCTGTAAACATAGGCGTGCGTATATCACTGTTGTATGATGTTTTTAATTCTTCTAGGAAGATACGTAGGAGGGGAATAGCTGGGTCAAATGGAACCTCTAGTCCTAGTTTTTTGAGAAATCTCCACACTGATTTCCACAGTGGTTGTACCAGTCTACACTCGCACCAAAAGGAGAAGGCCTCCTTTTTCACCACGTCCCCGCCAGCATCTGTTTTTTGATTTTTGGATAGTAGCCACTCTTTCTGGGGCGAGAGGGAATCTCAGTGTTGTTTAATTTGCATCTCTCGAATGACCAGTGATGAACATTTTTTCACATTTATTTGCTGTTTGGCCTACGTAGGCTCTTTGCACTGGATGTTCTCCCTGCTCGAAGCCTCGGTATCCATGTGGCTTTCTCTGTTACCTCCTTACGGGTTTAACTGTCACCTTCTGTGGTCTCCAACATTCTAGAATTGCACCTTGCACCCTTTCCTTCGTTTTCCTTCTCAGTTATTCTCCTTAGCACTTAACATTGTCCATGTTTTCCTTATTAGTTAGCCTTTTAGAGTATAAGCTCTGTGAAAACAGAATTTTCCTCCATTTTTTCACTCTTTCATGTCTAGCTTTAGCTTTATACACCCGGATGGGAGCCGGCTCTCAAAGTGTACAATACATGACTGAATTCATGAATGAAGCAGCAGCAGATCTTTGTAAATAAACTGTAGGGGTTAAAGATAATGGCATACTTTTACTGTCAAAATATTCAAGCTCTTTCCTCATAAATTTAGTTGGAACTTTGGCAAGTACATTCAATTATGTTGAATAACTTCATTGAGATATAATTTATACCATTACGATGCCATACTATTCACTCATTTAAAATATACAATTCAGTGGCTTTTGGTATATTCACCAAGTTGTGTAAATAACTATCACCAGAAAAACTTAGAACATTCGCATCACCCCGAAAAGAAATCTGACACTCCTTAACCATAGTCCCACCAACTCTCCCATCTTCCCTAGTCCTGAGAAACTGTTAACTTACTTTTTGTTTCTGTAGATTCACCTACTATAAATACCTTCTGTCATATAAATTGTGTTTTTTTTTCTGAATGCCTTCTGTCCTTTAACATGTTTTCAAGGTTCATCTGTGCTGCAGCATGTATTTCCCCCCCTTTTTTTTTAGTTACTGAGGTATTCCATTGTATGGGTGTATCATGTTTTGTTTAGCTGTTCATCAGCTGGTGGACATTTGAGTTTCCGCTTCTTATCTGTTAGGAGTAATGCTGCTGTAAAATTTTTATATACAAACTTTTATGGGGACGTAAGTTTTTACTTCCTTTGGTTATATACCTAGGAATTGCTGGATCATACGGTAATTCCCTGTCTACCTGTTTTTGTTTGTGCTGTTTCCTTTTGTAGTACTAGGACAAATCCAGGGCCTTTTGCATGCCTTTATCACTGAGCTACACTCCCAGCTTGTGTTTTCATTTTTTGACTGTTTTTTGCTGTGGGCTTGCCATTTTACATCTACACCAACAGTGTGTGAGAGATCTGATTTCATCACATTCTCAGCAGTGTTTGCATTGTTTGTCTTGACTGTAGCCATCCTGTTGAATTTGAAATATTATCTCATTATGGTTTTTGTTTGCATTGCTCTGATGATTAATGACATTGAACATCTTCTCATGGGCTTATTGGCATTCTTGTATCTTCATGGGAATGTGTGTTCAGATCCTTTATTTTTAAATTGTACTATCTTTATTATCTGTAGCTAAGATATCTTTATAGGCTGTACAGATCCCTTATTAGAGACTGATGATTTGCATAAATGTTCTTATTGTATAGATTGTCTTTGCTTTGTAGATGGTGTCCTTTGACACATAAAAGTTTTAATATTGTGTCCAGTGTATATGTTTTATCCTTTATGCTTTTGGCAGTATATCTAAAACACATTGCCTAATCTAACATACACCTGTGTTTCCTTGTAAACATTTTATAATTTTAATCTTTTTTTTTTTGGTATTTTTGAGAAAGGGTCTCACTGTGTAGTTCAGGTTGGTGTTGAGCTCACCATGTAGCCCAGGCTGGCCTCAAGCTTGCAGCAATCCTCCTGCCTCAGCCTCCCAAATGCTGGGATTGCAGACGTATGCCACCAGGCCCAGCTACCTCTAGTTTGATGTTGAACAGAAGCGGTGAGAGCGAAGCTCCTGATCTTCTTGATCATAGCAGGGCTAACTGTTTGCGGCAGAATATCACTGTGTGGTCCAGGCTGGCCAGAATTAACAATGAGGACAGAGTTAACCAATGAGGTCATTTATGTCTAGTCTTTTCTTTGTGGTAGTTTAAAATTGATCTTTTACCAGTTTTAAGTTTATTCAGCGTTTATATTTTTGTAGGTTCAGTTTTAGTTTGTATATTCCTAGGGATTTGTTCATTTAATGTGGGCTAGCTAATTTGTTGGCATATGGTTATTCACACTATTTTAGACATAAAATTCTTATATAAGGTAGATAGTCTGTCCCCTACTTTACTCCTGATTGTAGGAATTTGAATCTTCTCTCTCTTTCTTGATCAAACATTTGCCCTTGTGATTGTCATTTGTTGATCTTTTAAAAGAACCAACTTGTAGATTGGTTGAGATGGAAGAAAACAAGGATAAACCACTTGTGGGATGTAGCTAAAACAGTGTTAAGGTGAAAAAAATCAGGGTTTGGTTTCATTTCACCTTTTCCACTTTAGGTCATTTGTACATCGTTATCCATCTGTCCCATTCTCAAGATTATGTATATAGTTTTAGGCTTCAGAGAGAAAATGTAAGATTGATTGGTTTCTTATTTTCTTCAGTACTGAGGATTGAACATGGGGCCTTCCCACTGAGCTGCCCCTACCCCTTTCATTTATTTATTTATTTATTTATTTATGGAGAAAGTGTCACACCAAGTTGCTGGGTTGCTCAGGTTGGGCTAGAACTAGGGATCCTCCTGCCTCAGTACTCCAGACTACCATGATTTCTTGTCTTTACAGATATTAGAAGGAAAAAGCAAAATTTCTGTCAATGACTTCATCATAAAAGCTTCAGCTCTGGCATGTTTAAAAGTTCCTGAAGCAAATTCTTCTTGGATGGACACAGTTATAAGACAGTAAGTATAGTATAAATTAAGTAAGTATAAATGGGGAAGGTATCTGTCAATCAGTGTTATGTTGTCTATTGTATAACTACTAATTAGAGATTCTCTGAGTTCAGTAAGGGAAGATCAGTATACAGATAGGTCTAATTCAGCTCATGGTGACTCACAAAGCAAGAAATGGCTCTGTTTTTTTCACCAGTGATTTCAACCAATGTGAGTAATGGAAACATTGAAAACAGTGTTTGTTAATGTTCTGGTTGCCCGCATGGTATGGCACTCAGTGTGTTTCACATGATTTAATTTAATCCAATAGCCATTTTTTGAATCTGGTGTTTCACTGTCATTTTCTAGGTCAAGAAACTGATGTTTAGTGAGTTAAGTAATTTCCCCTGAGTTAATAAGTGTCAGAACTATCACTGGAATTAAGAATCTGACTCCTACAGGGTGTGATGGTACATGCCAGTAATCCCAGCACCACGGGAGCCTGAGGCAGGAGGATTCTTGCGAGTTTGAGACCAGCCTGGGCTACAAAGTGAGCTCAAGACTAGTCTGAACTGCATAGCGAGATCCTGTCTCAAAAAGACAAAAAAAAAAAAAAAAAAGAAATCTGACTCCTAACCCTAGACTTTTTCTAGTAAGTAGATGCTTTGTGTAAAAAGAAAGAAAAAAAGCATTTTTCCACTAATGCCTATTGGCTGTGAAGATTAGTAGGTTTTCATTTTGGCAGATGTAACAAACAGACAAACAATAAAAAAAGCCAGGCGTGGTGGTGCATGCCTATAATCCCAGGACTCAGAAGGCTGAGGCAAGAGGATTGCAAGTTTGAGGCCAGCCTGGGCTACATAATCAGTTCATGGCCAGCCTGAATTGCATAGCGAGACCCTGTGTCCAAAGAAACAAAACAAGCACAAGCATTTTGGCAAATGTGTACATATATGTAATGTATGTATAAATTTTTACCTTCCCCCAAATTTTATATTTTGGGGGGGATTTTAATGCATTCAAAATATTTTGATCATGGGGCTGGGGATTTAGCTCAGTGGCACAGCGCCTGCCTGGCAAGCGCAAGGTCGTGAGTTCGATTCCCAGTAGCGGAAGAAAAACAAAATACTTTGATCATGTTCATCCCCCCTGTTGCCTGCTATTATGCCTCCCTCCCCTTACACCTTTTCTCTAGTCCTTCTCTATGTTCATGTCACCCTCCCTCTTCCTCGTTAGTGAGAGCTGGTTCCATTTGTCTCTCTGAGTCTGACTCGTTTCATTCAGCATGTTTCCAGATCTGTCCACTTTCCTTCAGGTGACAAAATTTTGTTCCTTGTGACTGAATGATGCTCTCTTGTGTGTATATAGCACACTTTCACTCTTTGAGGCCCCTCTGTGAGGATTCCATCGTGGCTCACTGATTCCCACTCCCACCAGCCGGGCAGGTCAGCATCTGCCTCTTACTATGTATTTCACTTTCATTCACTTACTAATCTATTTTTGCATGTTTATTTCTTTTGGTGATACTGGGGATTGAACCCAGGCCTTCCATGGAGTTAACATCTCCAGTCAGTTGGTCAGGCAGTTATTTATTTATTTAAATTTCCAGAAAAGATCCTCATGAGTCGGGGAGTTGCCCGGGCTGAGCTTGAGCATGCATTCTCCTGCCTCATTTTCCCGGGTGCCGGGAGACAGGCGTGCTGGGAGCACAGGCCTGCACCACCGCGCTTGGCTGTTCCTACTTCTATTGAGAAGTGTCTGTTCAGTTCATTTGTGCTTTTGTTCACTGGGCTATCTGACTGTTGTAGTGTTAAGCTTTTTGAGTTCTTTAGGTGTTTTAGACATTTTTCCTGCCTCAGCAAAGTAGCTGGCAGAGATTGTCTCACATCTGTGGGGCTGTCTCTTCACCCTAGTGGCTGGGCTGTTCGCCTTGCTGTACAGAAACTTTAATTGGATTGTAGTCCCGTTTGTTGATTTTGTTGTTGTTTTCTGGGTTGGTGAGGTCCTAGTCAGGGAGTTTTTGCCTGTGCCTCGGGTTTCAAGTGTGTGGCTCTTCGTCAGAGTCTCTGTGTTGAATATGTCCCTCATTGCTGCATTTGTATCCTCTGTGAAATCATTAATTATTTTAAAAAATCAGTCTTTTGGGTTCTTTGGCATTTCATCCCCTTCAGTATCTTTGCAGATGATGATGAAAGGTGGACATTTTGAGGGGTCACATTGTCTCAGTTTTTCATGCTTCTTGTGTTTCTATATTGAAATGTCTGCCTGGCGTGGTGGTGCATGTCTGTAATCCCAGCAAGTGTGGGCTGAGGCAGGGACATTGCTGTGAGTTCAAGGCCAGTCTGAACTACAGTAGTGAGACCTTACCTTAAAAAACAAACAAAAAACCCAGAATACACACACACACACACACACACACACACACACACACACACACACACTCCACTCACTCAGGAGGCCGAGGCAGGAGGACCACTGCAAGTTTGAGGCTAGCCTGTTACATAGTGAGTTTAAGGCCAGCCTGAACTATATAGTGAGAGCCTGTCTCAAAAAAAAAAAAAAAAAAAAAGGTAGGTTTTGTTAGTGTCCAACCTTCTTGATCCCTAGCACCACTCAGAGAGGAGAAAACAAACCACACTAATGTCAGTGACACAGACAAATGAGATATTGACATATCGTAAAAAGCAATGATTCACTACCATTAATAATAGAAAAGATATCAGCAATAATGAATAAAAAGGCTAAAAATTAGTAAAGTTAATAGTAATAATTAAAATGTAGGGGATGGAGCTGGGCGTAGTGGCGCATGCCTGTAATCCCAGCACTTGGGAGGCTGAGGCAGGAGGATCGTTGTGAGTTGGAGGCCAGCCTGGGCTACAAAGTGAGCTCAAGGCCAGCCTGACCTGCACAGCGAGACCTTGTCTCAAAGAGTCAAAAAAAAAAAAAAATGTAGGGGATGGGAAAGGGAAAAATGAGGAAGTAAAATTAAGAAATAAAGAATAGGAAGATGAGAGAAAATGAGATAAAAATCAAATTGAAGAATAAAAATCAGGTGCTAGGCATTGTGGTGCATGCCTGTAATCCCAGCACTTGGGAGGCTGACGCAGGAGGATCGTTGCGAGTTTGAGGCCAGCCTGGGCTACAAAGTGAGCTCAAGGCCAGCCTGAACTGCATCACCCTGTCTCAGAAAGACAAAAAAAAAAAAAGGCCAAGTCAAGGAGAAAACAAAGCAAAAGGTAAAAATTAGGAGGCAGATAACTAAACAGTAGCACAGACTGGTCCTAATTGGAGAGGGCTGGAGGTTGAATCAGGGCCTTTACACTGAGCTACATTCCCAGTACTTTCTAAATTTCTTGTTTTGAGACAGGATCTCACTAAGTCAGCTAAATTTTCCGGCTCAAATTTGTAATCCTCCTGTCTCAGCTTCCCATTGTGCTGAAATTGTAGATGTGCACTGTCTTACCTGGCTTCATGTCTGGTTCTGTTTTTCTTTTTGAGGTAAATACCCCTTCTTCCTTAACCTCCCATGTAGGTTTGTTTTTTGTTGTTCTTGTTTTTTTGTTGTAGTTTTCATTGTGTTTTTGTCAAGGACCTCATGCATGTTAGGCAAGTGCTCTACCGGGAAGCTACACCATAGCCTTAGGCTTTTGATAAATGTTGGCCCCTTGATCATTTAGTGGTTTTTGTTTACTTTTTAGAGGCACTGAGGATTGAACCCTTGTTTTCTTTCTACACAGAAATCATGTTGTTGATGTCAGCGTTGCCGTCAGTACTCCTGCAGGACTCATCACACCTATTGTGTTTAATGCACATATAAAGGGCCTGGAAACCATCGCTAATGATGTTGTTTCTTTAGCAACCAAAGCCAGGGAAGGTAAACTGCAACCACATGAGTTCCAGGTAATGTATTCGTTGTTGACTCTCAAGGATTATGTAATTTTTAAGGTGAACCTGATGCTTTCATTGCCTTTTCTGACACATACTTTTACTGACAGAAGGTCTTGAAAATAAAGAAAAATGAAGTCACATGTCAAACACTGAAAATAAGACATTTTCTAGCTTACTCTATGCACAACCCGCCACCACTGGCTTTTGTTCATATTATAATGGTTGTAATTTGCATTTCTGTATATTCTCTTCAGGCCTTCCAGAAAACAAAGTAGCAAGATTATCTTAAAGCCTTTTCACAGAATATTTGTAATCTTTTCTGATCTGTGTTGCAAGCAGCTAATGTGATCTATTTTAAATCCCTTTTTCTTTAGGGTGGAACTTTTACAATCTCCAATTTAGGAATGTTTGGAATTAAGAATTTCTCTGCTATTATTAACCCACCTCAAGCATGTATTTTAGCAATTGGTGCTTCAGAAGATAAGTTGGTTCCAGCAGATAATGAAAAAGGGTGAGTGTCAAAGTGGAAAGGAAGTTACAAGTTCGTTTTCATTACTTGGTACTTCTTTTTTGAGTTTCATTTTTACTGACAGTTATTTGAATAGTCTGTTGGCCCTTTAGTAGAATGAAAATATGGACTGAAATTCTATGGACTGAAATTCCTTGGGGCACCATTTATTAAATGTATTTAATCATGTTTGCAATTAGATCATTTTGAATAGATTTACTCTAGGTGAGAAGTGAGCGAACTTCTTAAAGAGTCAGATAGTAAAAACTTGAGGCTTTCTGGGCCGTGTAGACTGTGTACGAATTCCTTGCTGTTCATTATAAAAGCAGGTATAAACAATACCTAAAATAATTTTTAAAAAAAATGAATTCCAGAGGATAGGATTTGGGTGTGGTGTGGTGGCACATACCTGTAATCCCTGCACTCAGGAGGCTGAGGCAGGAGGATTGCTGTGAGTTTGAGGCTAGCCTGGGCTACAAAGTGAGCTCAAGGCCAGCCTGAACTGCATAGCGAGACCCTGTCTCAAAAAGACACACACCAAAAAAAAAAAAGAGAATAGGATTTGGCATATATGGTGTAGTTTGCCTACCCTTGTTCCCAGGTATATGGTCTTCTCCTTCACACTATTAATTAAGTTAATTAATTAACAATATGGAGGACATGAGTGGTAGGTGGAAAATAGTATTACCTGGGTAGGATTGAGGGCAGGAATCAGCACATGGGTGGATACTGGCTAAAATTCAGTGATTGCATCCCGAATACCTAATACTATTTTTACTTCTTCTAGATTTGATGTGGCCAGCATGATGTCTGTTACACTCAGCTGTGACCATCGAGTTGTGGATGGAGCAGTTGGAGCCCAGTGGCTTGCTGAGTTTAGAAAATACCTTGAAAAACCCATCACCATGTTGTTATAATTAACCCAGGAATTTTTAGACTCTTCCAGGTCACTTTGGTTCATTCTTATCAGGATATTTATATGTTATTAAATACATGGTTCTTTTAAAGTTCACCAGTTATTTTTAATATGGAGTCTTTCCAGATAAATTATTTATAATGGCATTGCTGAATTTTTAAATGCCAGTTATTCCCAGATACTGTTTATATTTAATGATTAAACACCAGATTTGAAGCTGTGTACTTCCAGTCAAGGGACATGTGCTAGCTTGGTGATAAATACTTCCATCAGGAGATACAGGACAGGCAGAATTGTGCTTCCCTGGTGACAAATACTAAAGTAACCTCGATGACACTTTGCAGTTCAAAATGTAATTGCCTAAAATTTCTTAGATGTGAAGGAAAGAGAAATTAGGAAAATTACTTTTCTTAGGGGAAGGGTTTTTGTATTAACCATGGTTTCAATTTTTCTGTTACACTGTTCTGCTTTGTTGTATGTGGGAAAGGTAGGGGACTTCAAGGAAAATAAGTGAAATTTTAAAAGTCAGAATTTTCGTAGACATCTTCAAACATTTATTTTTGTATCAGTCTTTAAAAGGAATGATTGCTTTCCCCTCTTAAGGTAAAGATACAAACCAATTTCTTGGTATACACGAGGATTTATGTGGATATTTATTTAAACGTTTTGAATGTGTAATTCAGAGAGGGGAATTTTATAGTTAACTTCAAGTAAAAGAGCATGCTTATACAATTTAACAGAATGTAAGAAGTTATGGAAGTAGAATTTTCCTGTAGGATAGGAAATTATACATGAACTTAGTTATCAGAATGTATTACTCAAATAACTGGAAAGCTCTATGAAATAAATACAGAATACATGTATATATGTAAAATAGGGTGACGTGAGTTGGATATGTGCCAAAGTCTGTCACCAAGTGTTGTAAAGAAAAGGGGATTATTTGTGAATGGGTTAGAATGCGGAACAGTGATGTCCTAGCAGTGCCTGTATTCCTAGCTGTTCAGGAGGCTGAGGCTGGAGAGTCACTAGCCCAGGAATTTGAGGCCAGCCAGGCAGTGTAGTGAGATGTCTTAACAATAAAATAAATGATGCCCAAAATGGTAATTTCAGAAAAGATAAATGTGGTTTTAGAAGTGTTTCTTTCCACCCCAACATCGTCTCATGTAAAATAAGATATCCCTAAGATCCTGCTGGAGCGAACAAAATTCATTAGGTGGCTACCTCATCAGCCCATATACTTAAAAAATATATATTTTTTTTTAAATTGTGTTTTGCCTTTTGGAGGGAAGGAGGACATGATATTTAGGATAATAAAAGTGAATTGGGAACATTACCACAATTCCAGACTTCGTGTTGAAATTGATGCATTTTAATAAATGTTTGGAATTATTTATGACTATTTTAAATAAACCTGACCAGTGTTTCCTTGTATGTGTAACATGTGGAACTGTCACCCGAGATTTGCTTTGTTTCAGTGTTGAATTATTTCTGAATGTTCATTACTACTTGACACATAAGTGACACTCCATACCTTCTACAAGCATTCACTTTGCTATATTACTGTGAAAACAGTTCAGTACATTAATCTGACTTTTCAGTAATGAGTACTTTTGGTTGAAGTGAAGATTATGTAAAAGTGTAAGTTTATCACAAGGGACCATCATCAGTCTGGGCCAGATCCAGTCCCACCAGATGAAACTTCAAAAATAATTCATTCTTTGCTAATGTTTGTGGCTCTATTCGTTCCCTTAAAGGAAAAATAAAGTTACCATCTAGTAAAAATTGTTTGAATTAAAAATTTATCTCGGTTATAATCTAAATCTGGAGTCAGTATATTTATCTTGCCAGAAATGAAAGAAAGTTAGAAGTAGTATTTTTGTTTAAATAAGATTATTTAAAAGTTAAACTTTCTGTTTTCAATATGTTTGGTCTAATTTTTGATTTGCTGGGAATTTCTTTCACATTAAATGATTAAGATCCAGTGTCAGCTGTCTGCTTATTAAGCTTTCAATACGTATAAAATGAATTTTACGGAACCGGTAAAGTAAGGATTGAATTTAGGAGGGTATAATCCAACAGTCTGAAGTAAAGGAGTGAATGAAGCATGGCGTTCACACCAAAATGGAAAGTGTGGGAGGTCTGGCTTTATTAGAGGAACTCGATTCTGAGGTGTGTGAGTAGGAAGTTATGCTGCCCCATGGCAGTGTCCAGAAGGTCATCATGTAGAGATGACAGGAATATGTTGCCTATCATCACCTGTAATGCATGACTGCTGGAACACACAGGGAAGTTAGTCACTACTGATAAGTGATCTAAAACTAAGTCGTTTGTCTGTTGTGTCTTTTTGAGACAGGGTTTCACTATGCAGTTCAGGCTGGTCTTGAACTCACTTGGTAGCCCAGGCTGGCGTGAACCTGAAGCAGTCCTCCTGCCTCAGCCTTCCCAGTGCTGGGATTACAGACATGTACCACCACGCCTGGCTTTAAAACTAAGTTTATAGAAAAAAAAAAGTAGTCTCTGAATTTCTAATTTTGAGGGGAAAAATTTTAGTCGAAATTTAAAGAAGTCCACATTTTCTTATTTTTTTGAGACAGGGTCTTCTTCTATGTAGTGCAGGCTGGCCTTGAACTCATGGCCATCCTGCCTTAGCCCTCCCGAGGGCTGGGATTACAGATGTGTGCCACCATGCCTGTCTGACTTAAAGTGTTTGGAAGGATGAAAGTTTAGTAACTTTGTTAACGATTTTAGGTCATCATGCCATTCCAGAAAGTTTTCAGGAGATAAATGATCAAATCCATGTCAAATTTAAGAAAAGTGTACATGCTTTTAAATGTCACATACAAGGGGCTGGGGATTTAGCTCAGCGGCAAAAAGCGCCTGCCTGGCAAGCGCAAGGTCGTGAGTTCGGTTCCCGGTACCGGAGAAAAACCAAAAAAAAAAAAAAAAAAAAAACAAAAACAAAATAAATGTCACATACAAAGTTATGTTTTAGGCCACAGTGTTCTGCCTTGTGTGGTAGCCACCCTCACGCTCTAGGGTGTACTTCTGTTACTTGGCCCAAACTCCTTCTGCAGAGCCTATTTCTTTTCCTACCTTTAATAAAACTTTGCTACAAAAAAGTTTTAAAATCTGTAAAGAATTTATAATCCTTCTGTTGAAGTATACACTAATAGTTAGAAGAAAGTTTTACCTAGAAAAATAATCAAAGGATGTTTCAAGTTGGATGTGCATATTGCTAAATCAGTATAAATGAGATGATACTTTTGTGTTTGACAACTTAGCAGAGATAAATGGAAGTTAGAAATTCTAGCACTTCATTTCTGCTGGAGAAAAGTATTTGTCCAAAGTCCACTTACAAATTAGAGATGGATTTATTTAGCTTGTGATGTGCAATAACAGTCAATAGCTGTTACATGTCATTGTGTCTCATCTGCAGACATGTCCATATCTGATAGGAAAAGGTCTGGCTGGGTACTCTGGACTCCTGGCAGAGCTGTTATTGACATATAGAGATACATTAAAGCATAGGTTTGTATATATTTGGCCTTAATCTGTATTGCTGGAGGAAACTTTCACTGTTACAGCCCATCCTGATAAAAACTTTTGCATGGTCTGAAATTTTTTTCCTGATGCAAAAATTTAGTAGACCTTTTTTTTTTTAGACAGGGTCTTGCTATGCAGTTCAGGCTGGCCTTGAGCTCACTTCGTAGCCCAGGCTGGCCTCAAACTCACAGCAATCCTCCCGCCTCAGCCTCCCCAGTGCTGGGATTACAGGCGTGCACCACTCTTCCAAGAGTTCCCCCATCTTCCCAGAAAAAAATCAGAACTTTGCCAAATGATATCCAAATTACTTAAAATCACTATAGATAGCACTGACACTGTTTTAGTAGTTTCTGACTGATGCCAAGTTTATTTGAGAAGGAAAAGTCAGTTAAAAAGTAAATATAACAGGAAGGGAAACTGTCACTCCATTAAAAAACTCTTAGAAACAAAGAATGTTAAGATAAAGTAAAACCTCTACCTGTAACAAGTACTATAATTCACATGACTGGTAGCACTCAAAACTCAAAATAGGACGCTCTTGTTTTATATCAATGGCATTGTGATGATTAATGCAGATTTCTCCTTGATAAACTTTGCTGTAGTCATTTCAGTATTAACAGATTCTGGAAGATTCAGATGCAGCCTGTACTTCTCAGACACCTCCAACAATAAGTCATCCTGAGAATACAGAAATTTTTAAGAGATGAAAGTATTTCTTGGTCAGTGTTCGTGCTCTTGGATCACTTAAGGGGAGGATACCATTTGTTGCTCTGTGGTTTGCAATGAGCATTAAAAGTACAGTTGTAAATTCCTGAAAATTTTAGATTGTGATTGTTGCTCATATAAGATGTTAACTGATACAGTACCAAAAGTAGTATGATGTCATTCCTGAATTACATGGTATTGTCCTCAGCGTAAACCAGCAAACGCCAAGGAAACTTAGAAAAGTGAATTTAGAAAACTGCCCAGTTGTCAAGCAGAACTGAAAGGAAATAGATGGAGCCCCCAAATTGTAAGCCTGAAAGGCTGAACCATGGAACTGTATTTTCTGTGGGTAAAGGGTAAAACTGAGAAATGATTCTTATTAGCAAAGTCTAGAGACTGTTAATATTAAATCACAGGTCTTTATGCCCTTCATGAAAACCTCTGAATGGATGAAGGTACACTTTAGTAAATTCTTAGGTTTGGCTAGAATGACAGTAATTAAGTCTAATGAAACAGGCAACTCTTGAGACACAAGCAAGCCAAAGTGAGCACAGCACTGACTAGAGTCACAGAAAAATAAGAATGACTTAAAATATTCCATGTGCAAGAAAATGCTAATTCTACTGTATTCACTACTGTCTGATGTGGCCAGAGCTGCTACTGGAAGAAGAAAATAACCTCTGAAAGAATGGAGCTGGAGGTTGTGAAAATAGACGAGGAAGGTAGGTAGTGAAGGACCCTTCAAATGAGCAAAAATATCCTCCACCTCCACACAAGGGGACCTCACAGGGCTTGCCTAGTGAGTTCAGAAGGCGTGTGCACCAGTAACCAGTGTTCCTCATGTTTTTCTCATTTCTCAAATGAGACTATTAATTACAGTTATCATCTGTCTCCATTCCGTACTATGGTGGATGGAGTTCAGCGGGTAGATAACTCGGCATGTCATTGGTCTGTAGTTAAGAGGAACAAACCACAGACCACATATGAATAACTAAATCCTGTATTTTGGAGCATTGGTACTGTGATTAGAGGTGTTTTCCTTGAAGAAAGAAGCAAGGACCGGTGACCACAAGGATACACGGGTAGACTGCAGGACTGTTCCCAACTGTTCTTTCTCTGTAAGGGAATTATACATCCATGCCAAGTGGCTTCCTGTGATGACCTGTGAAAAGAATATACTTCCAGTCCTATTGGATTATGATTTAGTCTTGGGAGATACTTTGGCCAACGGACCATACTGTGCGACATATGCCGTGCCTAAGCAGAAGTTTTAGACCCACTACATGGGCCGGCCATTTCTATTTTCCCTATGCTAGGAAAGTGACAGATGGGAACTGCTCCTTCACCTGGCTCTAAGAATGTGCCAGCAAGACTCACGGAGCTGATGTGTAACCTGAGCAAATTATTATAAGCCTTTGAAATTCTGGAGTCTGCTACTATTACAATATAATACAGTGAATGCTGACTGGTATGGAGTTACTGTACATCTGGCCCTTTGTATCTGAGGGTTCTGTATCAGTGGGTTCAACCTACCTTGGATTGAAAATCAGGCCTCTGGTAGTTGCACCCTACCGAACATGGAACAGACCTTTCCCCTTCTGATCGTTCCCTAAACAATACAGGAACGATTTGAGATAGTTTAGATTTTAATGTCCCCAGAGGCTGGTGTAAAGGCTTGCTCCCCAGGGAGGCAGCTGTCAGGAGGCTGTGGAACCTGTAGAGGTGGGGACCAGTAGGAAGTCTTTCGGTCGCTGGGCGCATGGCAAGCAGAGTGTAGGTCCCTGTCATTTCCTTCTCTCTCGCTTGTTTTTTGGCCGTAAGATGAGCAGTTTTGCTCAGCCATGGACTCCTGCCATGAAGTGCTGCCTCACCACAGACCTAAAATCACCAGGGCCAACTGCTCATGGACTGGAATCTCTGAAACCAGGGGCCAAATCAATCTTTTTTTAAAAGTTGGTTATTGTAGGTATTTTTCATAGCTACAGAAAACTAATAGCAACTATTTATTATTTACATTGTATTAGGTATTTTATTTTATTTTAGTTTTATTTTTGTGGTACCGGGAATCGAACTCATGACCTCACACTTGCCAGGCAGGCACTGTGTCACTGAGCTATATCCCCAGCCCTGTATTAGGTATTTTATTTATTTATTTGTTTTTGGTCTTTTTGAGATAGGGTCTTGCTATGTAGTTCAGACTGGCCTTGAGCTCACTTTGTAGCCCAGGCTGGTCTTGAACTCTCAGCGATTCTCCTGCCTCAGCCACCCGAGTGCTGGGATTACAGGCTTGCGCCACCACGCCCGGCCTGTATTAGGTATTTTAATCTACAGCTGATTTAACAGGTTCCTGCTGGGCTTGAACCCCCAGTGGCACATGCATGACCATCCTGCCTGATGGGACTGGCGCATGCTGCCCAGTGGAAGAGTCATGTATGTACACTGGTGTTTCAGAATAGTCCAGCTGCCATACATATGAATTATGGCCTTGCTGTGAATGTGTTAAAGTACATGGGAGGACATTATATACAAATTTTATACAACTGTGCCACTTTATTTATTTAGTCTTTTTGAGACAGGGTCTCACTATCCAGTTCAGGCTGGCCTTGAACTCACTTTGAAGCCCAGGCTGGCTTCCAACTCACAGTGATCCTCCTGCCTCAGCCTCCTGAGTGCTAGGATTACAGGTGTGCACCACCACACCCAGAACTATGCCACTTTATATACTGGACTTGTGCACCAGTGGATTTTAGTATCTGCAGGAGTTACTGAAAACAGTCCCTTATGGATACCAAGGGCCTATTATGTTACCTATTCAACTTACCTCAGAAACACTAAGGTCACAGAGAGAGACTTCGTTAATACCAGGTAAGTCAACTTTCAATTCAATTTTCAAAGGTTTTTCATGCTGATCCTTCAAAAATTTTAATTCATAGACTGGTATCTGCCTCTCCTCTTGGATTTCAGTACTAGAAATCTCTTCTATCAGACATCCTGCTTTGCTTAAAACTTGGTCTTTTGGCAGTAGCAGCTGAGGAAAGTGATCTGAACTGCTCACGGTGCTGCTGCTTAACTGTTCCAGGCTGTGCTCTTTAGGGAAAAAGGTGAGATAAAATCACAAGGTACTATCAGGCTGTGAGCTGTAAGACATGTTGTATTAGCTGAGACGGCAGAGTAAGCTGCAGTTAAATTAGTTGGGGAATATTAAGCCAAAGGAATCTTAAGGCTGGGGATGTCGTTCAGTGGTAGAATGCTCGCCTGGCATTTGAGGTTCTGAGTTAGATCCTTAGTTTTGCAATAAACTACAAAACTGGAATTTTAAGCCAAAAAAATTTGGCTGTCAATTTTTCACAAGTTAAAATCTTTATGAATATGCTAACATTTAAGGTTTTTTTTTTTTTTTTTTTTTTTTTTTTTTTTTTTGTGGTTTTTGTGGTTTTTCTCCGGTACCGGGAACCGAACTCACAACCTTGCGCTTGCCAGGCAGGCGCTTTTGCCACTGAGCTAAATCCCCAGCTCCCTATGCTAACATTTAAAAATAGCTAATCCGTAGGGACAGAATCTGAACTATGTAGTTCAGGTTAGCCTTGAATTCATTTGTTACCCAGGCTGGCCTCTAACTCAGCAATCCTCCTGTCTCAGCTTCCTGAGTGATGGGATTATAGACAATATTTTTCTAAAGTTTCTCAACTGTTAAAATCAAGACTTCCAGTTTGCTAAATGTACACAAATTGCAAAAGAAAATCTTAAATCCCTTTAATTTTTGATTTACATTCATCCACTTACCCTTTCTTACTTTCTGTCTTAGATCTGCGACATCAGTTTGGATTCCCATCAGATTTTGTCTCATTCTTTGAATGCTTCCTTTTATTTTACAATCAGTAATATGGTAAGAGTGTGAGAGAGTGAGTTGGAATTGCTCCTCAATGCATTTCACAGCCATCTTTATTAACTGATCTTTTCTCACTCGGTCCTTTTCTGTTGCTTGAAGAACCTCAGGGTTGCAGGCAACGTCAATTACTGTGTACTCCTCTGTGTAATTCAGAGGATAGGAAGCAAAGCTTGTTTCTCTAATGATGTTATCAGGTTATATATTAAACCATATTCCTGATATAGCTACAAAATACATTTTTGTGCAACCACAATGGTGCTGTATACACAAAATTCCACTTAAGGCACTGCTTAGCATTTTTATATGGATTAAAAGCACTCATAGAATTACAAAAAATTGAACGGTAGTTCCATAAAAGTACACTAATTTGTTGTAATTTTACTACCAAATAAAATATCTTACTTGAAATGCTTTCACCAAGTAAAATTTGGCCCATATTAATTCATATATATATATATATATTGTTGTTTTGTTGTTGTTGTAGTACTGGGGATTGAACCCAAGGCCTCACATTAAGTTATATCCCCATCTCTTTCTATTCTGAGACAGGGTTCTCACTATATATTCAGGCTGGCCTTGAGCTCACTACGTAGCCCTGGCTGGCCTCAAACTCCCCATAATCCCCCACTTCACCTTCCCTAGTGTTGCGATTAAAGGCATGGGCCACCATCCCATGCTGCCCTTTTAAATTTTGAGACAAGTTCTCCCTAAATTGCCCAGCCTAACCTCAAACTTGTGATCCTCCTGCCTCAGCCTCCCAAGTAGCTGGGATTATGGGCATGTGTTCCTGTACCTGGATCCCAATAAAAAATTCTAAAATGTGATTTCTTTCTTTTAATCCTTCTTTACCTGATGTCTCAGAGATGTCTTGTGGCCTGCCAACACTTAGAGGTACTGGATGCATGGCTGACTGGGGAGTGGGAATCCTTTTCCACTGACACAGGTTGATAAAAAGTATTTTTTCTTTTGGTTTCTGGAAAGTGAATAATTTTGATATCTCAATCGAGTTTTTTTTAAAAAATGTTAATATGTCTAAAATTAATTTATCACAGCATTGGAAGAGGGAGAGAAGTCATTCCATGTATTAAAACTGTTTGGTAAATTATACTTTTGTTACTTGACTTCTCTAAAGTTGTTGGCTATTTTCATTATGAACCCAGTGCTGCTCCTTCTAAAAGGAACTGGCAAGAGGGGGAATTGATCAGTTGTTCCTGGTGCCTTTGACCCTATTTCACCACTTCATTATCTCTCTAAGAAAATACACTTTTTATTTGAAAAATCTCCAACTTCATGAAGCGCTATTAAATCATCACATCATTTTTTCTTTTTCTTCTAGCAGAAAAATGGCTCATTTTGATATTTCCAAAATATATCAGATATGTACTTACCATTCTTTCTCCTGGAACATAATATTCCATACTGCTTTACTTTCTATTTAGACAGTTTCCATCAACTTTTCTTGTGTTAAAGTAGCAATAGCAGGAGTTCTCTGATTATTCCAGGATAAGTTCATTCAGAACCAACCCTCTCCTGCCACCAACTCTACATACCACAATCCTGGTCTGTAGACAGAGCTCTGGCTCTGGGCCAGCACAGAGTTGTTTCCCCTCTTGCAGCTCCTGTTCAATGAAGTTTTTATAGCGTTCGGGGTCACTTTCAGCCAGATCATCTAGGAGGTTCCAGAACTGAGTAATCTGGGTGAGCAGACCCTTTCGGGACGTCTCCATGACTAACGATGAAACAGGCCTCTGAAACCTGTGGAAAGACCCAATTTAAGGAAAACAGTATTTGTGCTAGCTGTATTGATTGATATCCTCTTAGAAAACGGAATGAATCAGAAATTGTGTTAGTGAGGTTATCAGCTATCTTTAACACTGTGTCTGAAAGACTGTGCATCAACATCCCGTTATAATTTCTTTTTTTTTTTTTTTTTTGTTTTTTTTTTTTTTTTTTTCCTCCCACAGGGGACAAAAAGTAATTGGTCTTTAAAGAATGAAATCAAAGATTTCTGTTTTAAATGACCCTTTCGGTTTTCATCCTTTTAAGCTCCTCCCTTTCTGTCTTAATACTAAATCTTCAGTTGCAGCACTGGTGTGTTTTTCTGAGGAAATGTACATAGTTCTCTAATC